TGCAGATAGATTTTACGTAAAGGAACAATTAGTTAGCTTATCGTCATACCCTGCCTGGTGGCAAACGCTGCTGGTGGCGCCAGGGGTGGCGGTCCTGCCATAGCCACCGAAACCGTGAGATCACCCCTGGTCGGCGGCTGATGAAGACAGGGTATCGCACGTGCTAATACATGTTGTATGTTATATATATATATATATATATATAACACTAAACATATTCATAATATAACAATTCAACACATGGTTTCGTGCTACACGCAATCATCAGGCCACATGAACAATTTCAAGAAACACACACACACACACACACAAACACATTTTATTTTTTTTAAAGTAAGGTTCACCATTTACAAGGCCCGAATGTAGAAGGTTACGATAAGGGGTAGTTTATATGAAAAGCTCAGGGCTACAGAACTCCTCCTTGAGTTAGAAACATCATACTAGCCAGTGTACCAAGACAAGTTCGGCATATACATGAAGACCAACTGGGAGAAGTGAGGTGACAAAGGTTGCTCAGGGGGTGCATTTACATCCCATAATATATAAACGTGGATTAACACTTGGAGATGGGTTGGCTGCAAGAGTTGATGGAAGTTTGTTAGTGTTGACCACTAATGATGGTCAGAATCCATTTTGAATTTTTTTCTCTAGATTCACTTCCATAGCCTTTTCTGTGTTTTGATATGGCTGCATGTCAAGGTTTAAAATAAAGCTCTTCTTTCCCCGGGATGTACTACCTTTCTGGGCTGTCGAGCTTGATCTACCAGAAGCAGCTGGTTATGAGGCGACAGTGATTCGCCTTTGTCCCCTTTCCTGACTTACAGCTATATCATGTTGAGAACGTATTTCTCAAACGATCGCTAAAGCCAAGCAACATTGAGCCTGATCAGTACTTAGATGGGTGACTGCTTGGTGATACCAGGGGCTGCAAGCTCAGATGTGCAGGTGGTGTAATGGCTAATGGCTTGGAATTGGAAATCAGAGAGCCGAGTTCCAGTTACAGTTGTGTTTGTTATATACACTTATGCAAAAATATTTTTGGAAAGGTATGAATACACCCTCCAGTTATGGGTTAATCAGTAGAACTTGTATCAGTAAACCATTATTAACTCCACTAAAATACTTGCAATCTAAAAAGAATTTCTGGCTAAAAACATGTTGATAAGCCATAACAAATAAATCATTATAATGACATATATTTCTATGTATAAAGTGACCTTTTAATCTTAAAAAAATTATCCTCCCCCCAAAATATGGGGTTATAATCCTCTGTTAATTAGGCTGTCGTAGTTAGCTCCTCCTTAATTCCCAAATTGTCACTAGGGGTCGTTCTCCCTATATTTTAAATACTGGGCGACTTCTTGCCTCGTTCTCTTTTTCATTTCTTCATTTCAGCGACTACAATGTAAGCTCTCTTAGAAGATCCGCATCTTCCCATTTGTGGGAGACATCGTGAACATTATACACACATACACATACGTACAAACATTCACAAAAGAACAGACACAAATTTCATACTCATACAAATGTCATTGTCTATGTCCATTGTAAAATTGTTTTGTTTAATACATATATTTGTTTATATATATATATATATCGGTTTGTTTGTCTTCTTTACATCTTCAGTTGGACTTAACTTGAGTCTGGCAATTTTCTTGTAGTTGGACCTTTTAATATTTTGCCAGGAGTTACATGTTTCTAATACAACAACATGCAAACACACATAGTCCTCTACAAGGCTAGTATGCTTTTGTCATGGACACAACTTTTGTTTTCATTCGTACAAATTGTAAGAATGAAATCTTTATGGTTATTTTCATAAAGATTCATATTAATACTTTATATTATTTCATTCCTTTTGATTTGATAATGATAAACGTAAGCAAAACAACATTTGTAATAACATCAGCTTTATTTTACACTCATAGGAATCATTATGATACGCCAAACAGCTATTGGCGGCATAGGCTAGTCTACATTTTCAGTCATCTTATGGATATCAGATCATAAAAATCGTGAAAATTTACCTAGATGTAGGGTCTTGTCTGTAGGTTGTTATATATGTGAAAATATACGCTATGTACAATAATAAATCATATGCGATATGGATGAACAATTCAGCCAGAAAAATTGAGAATAAATACAATGTATCTGAATAAAAATGATAGAATTGTCATCATAGATCCTTCCATCTTTAAATAAACCGACAATGTTTTGCAGCAATTTTTATCATCAACTTCAGATTTTTTTTGTTAGAAATTTGAAGAATTTTAACACATTCAACATTATGGTTAAAAAATAGTGAATTTTATTTATTTATTTATTTTTTTTCAAGACTTAGCATGCAAAAAAAAATTTATGGATTTTTAAGCAAAAAAAGTTTTTTTTGTTTTTTGCATGAACAAAACAAATTCAGTGATTTCACTTAGATTTATGGTCTCATCTTATCTACAGGTCGCCTTATATGTGGAAATATACAGTAAAACAAATAATCCAGAATAACAAAACAGTAATACGTGAAGTACACCCTTGTGCAAATTAATTGAAACAAAACAAATAATTCCGTTATTATTTATAATTTTTCATATTTATCAAATGAAATATTACTTACTGCACATGTTAGTACTTCCTATGTCTATTCCATGAAGTCGTTCCTTGCAGATTGACCACAGATTCTCGATTGGATTTAAATCAGGAGAGTTTCCAGACCAGTCTATAGTACTTTAATTTGCTCACTGGTAAGGCTTGTCAGTGTGTTAGTGCAGCATTACAATTTTCCTAAGCTTCCTTCACAGACAATAGCCATAGGACAACTAATCAATAGTGAAGACAATATGTGTGTGGGGGTGATGAAAATCTGATGCAATCATGGATGATGCAATATTTTTCAAAGCGAAACAAATTTTAACATACACTCCAAAAATAGATTCATATTACTTTACACCACTACAAATGACCTAATCCAAAGAAAAATAGAAATCTATTACACCCTGTCACTCCAGTGGGTCTAAAACTGAACCATATGGTGAAATAAATGAAACTAAAGCATTTGTTTCAATTAATTTGCATAATGGGGTAGGTTCTTGAAATTAAACAAATTATATTTTGTGCCTCTGTTATAGAAGTGGAGGAAGGTTTGCAAGATTGATTGATTCAATCATATTTGCTGGATAATTAAGATTGGAGAATAGCTCGTCTGAGACATAATAAAAACAAGGTAAAAGAAATTTGCAACACTAGGCTTCATAGCTGTGTACACAACCAGTGTGATGATGATGATGCAACGTCACTGGGTGGAGGGTTTCCTAGACTGAAGTCAACGGCTAGGGTGCATGTTTCTTTCAATGGAATTATTCGTCATGTGTGCCCATAACCATAATGAGCCATCAAATTGGAAGACGTCAGTTGTGGTTTGACCTGAGAGGGATGGGTTCCGTCAGGTCTACTTGACCAAGACATGCTATGCATGAATCAACACATTTCTGGATTTCAACCCTAATATGTGTAGTGAATTGGACAGGTGCTCAGATGTGCAGTGAAACTGACCGCACCCAGTCACGATGACAACGATGATGATGAAAAAACTTTCTGCAATCCAAATGGAAATATAATAACTATCTGTAATAAGTTTTATCAAAGTTTATTGCAATGTTGATGAGTATTTGGACCAAACTCATGACAGTTTTGTCATTAAACTTGCATCCCTGACACTCGCATCTACTCGGTAAGTTCTCTTAACAGAGGCCAAAGGTGGCTGACAACAAATTGTAGTGATAAAAACCAACAAGAAAACGAATAATTTTTTGAGAATTTCATGGAATCAGATAATGAGGAAGGCTGAAGAATGCATCTGCTGAAACATGGTTACGAAATCAATGAAAATGGTGATATTAGATTGAACAACACATGGAATAGACATCAACATCCTAAAACATTTTTTCATTGTGTAGAATTTTTTAAAAAAATATTTATTATTCTTGGAAATTGTCTGAGAAGGTATTAAGCAAAAAGACATTTTTAGATATAGACCATATATAGACTTGAACATGAACCAAGATATTCATGTTCTGAAGTATTACAGATTTTAGAAGTATGTAATAACCACCACTTTTGGTAGATTATACTAGATGTCACTGAACTGCAGATCCCGTTGGTGTTAGGACAACATCCCAACACCAATGGTCATATTGTTGCATTTCTCTCTCTCATTGGTAATTTTGCTGTATTTCTCTCTCTCATCAGTTATATTGTTGCATTTTTCTCTCTCTCATCGGTCATATTGTTGCATTTTTTTTCTCTCATTGATCATATCATTGCATTTCTCTCTCCCCTCAGTTATATTGTTTCATTTCTTTCTCTCATCGGTCATATCGTTTCATTTTTCTCTCTCTCTCATTGATCATATCGTTGCATTTCTTTCTCTCTCCCCTCAGTCCTATTGTTGCATTTCTCTCTTCTCTCTTATCGGTGATATTGTTGCATTTATCTCTCTCTTATTGGCCATAATTTCACATCTCTCTCTCCCTCTTCTCATTATCAGCCATATTTCTGCATCTCTCTCATTCTTTGCTATACTGTAACATCTCTTTCTCTCTCCCATCCTTATTGTCACATTTTTCTCATTGGTTCTGAGTCATATTCTCTCTCTCTCTCCCTCTCTCTTTCTAAATCATGTCACATCTCTCTCTGGTTCTGGGACAAATCATTACATTTCTCTCTCTATCTCTGTCTTGTTGTTAGTCATTGTGATGTCTCTCTCTCTCTCTCTCTTTCTAAATCATGTCACATCTCTCTTTCATTCCAAGTGATACTGATTACAAAAAAAGCTAAATAAGAAATTCATTTCTTTATAAGACAGATAATTTTACTTTAACCTGTGTAAATGTGTAATGTGACCTTTTGAACTGATAAATTTGGAGACTGGTATTTGACATGAATATGACTAGATCTGTTGCTTTTGGGAATTGCATCTTTTACAAATATATAAAAGACAGATAATTTTACTTTAACCTGTGTAAATGTGTAATGTGACCTTTGAACTGATAAATTTGGAGACTGCTATTTGACATGAATATGACTAGATCTGTTGCTTTTGGGAATTGCATCTTTTACAAATATATAAAAGACAGATAATTTTACTTTAACCTGTGTAAATGTGTAATGTGACCTTTGAACTGATAAATTTGGAGACTGCTATTTGACATGAATATGACTAGATCTGTTGCTTTTGGGAATTGCATCTTTTACAAATATATAAAAGACAGATAATTTTACTTTAACCTGTGTAAATGTGTAATGTGACCTTTGAACTGATAAATTTGGAGACTGCTATTTGACATGAATATGACTAGATCTGTTGCTTTTGGGAATTGCATCTTTTACAAATATATAAATGTTGTTTCCTATTGCAGTTACAGTTTTTCGAAAGTTTGTCTAAAAACCATTATAATTAGTTACTACCTCTGTCCCCTAATAGATGTTACATTTAGTGTATGAAATATGTTTGTGAATGTACCAATGATTATGGGACAAATAGAAATTCATTTTATTTTTGTAACTGTTATGTTAGATTTTTTTTTTTCCTTTTCTTTAAGCGGACTCTGATTCCTGTTCTTGACCGAAGAACCATTTCTGCAATTGGCTCCGGATGGTAAGTAGGATCGGCAGTGATCTCAAATCTAAAGGGTAAAAAAAAAAAGAGGTTGGATTTAAAAAAGTTAAACATGATAATAAAATGCATTGCTACTTTTGTTTTCTTTTCTTTTTTTTTTAATCCCAGAATACAGCGGGATCATTGCAGCAGCCAGAATAGCAAAATGGCTAAAATTAAAAAAAAAAAATAATTTGCATGAGATACCTTTAGGGATTTGAACTCATAGTTAATTACGATTTAACAAGAATCCAGTATTACAATCTGCAAGATGCCCTTTCTTTCTGGAGATCCTGTCAATTTGATGGATGACACTTAAGCAGAAACACAGATTGCCTGAACTTAAGAAAATTGTTTTTACAAGATTATGTTGAGATTGCAAAAAAGTTTATTACTTGATATGAAAGACAAACATTTTTAAAATCCTGGTTCCAAGCAAAATTATTCAGTCTTGATTCAAAAGTGGAAGCATCTTGCAAGCAGATTTCTAGAGCAACGATATTTAAGTGCTAGATATTGTATGACGTTATTTAAAGATGGCCTGATCTCTTTTTATTGGTGAAGAGACATTAATTTATCAGTTTGTTTTCTGATGTCACAGTTCTTGGACAGATACAACTTTGGATACTCTATGGCAGTGGTTCTTCTTCTTTTTTACCATTTTAACTCTTTATTTTTTTGGTGGACTCCCAGAACCATTAAATAGAAAAAAAAAGCTTATTTTATTTTTGACTAATAGATAAGTTTAGGAATTGTATTATAGAAATAGTAAATGTATATGCTTTATTTTGAAGTAAAACTAATTTAATGAAAATAAACTTGTATTTAACAACTAAATTCTATGGAACTTTTATGTACACTAATAAAATAATTCATAATAAACCATTTTAAAAATATGTGAGTAATTAATAAATTAAAAGAAAATTACTAATAGGTTTTGTTGTTAATATTTTAGGATAATTTATATTAATATATTGGTATCTGTCTATATTTCTGAGATGTTCTGCCATGTACACTATTTACATTATTTGGACTATTGTCCTTATCTTTGTCGCCATATTTATTACAATGTTTCGGCCTTTCAGTATCTGTCTATATTTCTGAGATGAGATACTATGTACACTATTTACATTATTTGGACTATTGTCCTCATCTTTGCTGCCATATTTATCACAATGTTTTGGTTGTTGTACACTCTCGGCCTTTTTCAGATGTTTGCAATGTCAAACTGAACCCTTTACCGAAATAAAGGAATTCAGTTTGACATTCCAACCACCTGAAGAAGGCCGGAGTGTACAACGGCCAAAACATTGTGATAAATATGGCAACAAATTAATATATTAATATTTTATTTTATTAATATTTAAAATTAGTATCATTATTTATTATTAATACATTAAATTAATTGATATAAGAAATTAAATCTTTATATAATTTTCCTTTCCATATATATAATGCTTCCTTTATATATCCATCTCAGTTTTTATTCAAATTTTACAATCAAAACATCTGGAAGAGTTAAAGGGATGCTAACTTACATTACTTAATCTCATTTTCTGATAGTTTTAGTGTTGTCTTTTTCTATTTTTAATATGACGTAGATTACTGTAGAAATTCCAATTCTCAGTTCGAATAACTGTTATGAAATGAAATTACTCGATGGACCACAAAAATATTACTGTTGACCCCCAACTTGCTATTTTTTTGTGTGTGGACCCCAGTAATATTACATGGACAACCAGTGTCGATATGGATTCCAGCTGAGAACCACAGCTCTAAGGCAATATTTTTCAATTACTTTTTTTTTTTTTTTTTTTTTTTTTATCTCACAGCACCCTTGAACCTGTAGTTGAACTTTTCTGGTATAATTAAATTTTGATGATAAAAAAAAAAAGAGTAAACTTTTTATGATTTATTAACAGAAACAAAATTTGTTATAATTTATAATAAAAAAATAATAAATTTACATATATGTTTATTTTTCTGTTTAACATTTAATGAGATATTTGAGTGAAATTGTTTTTTTTTTTTTCTAAATATCTTTGAAAGGTTGAACTTTTAACAGGGAAACTCTTATAAAAATTGCGATACGAGTTTAAACAATGCATTGTCGATGAATATCTGGACCAAACTCAGTTTCATCATTTGACTCACATCTCCGACACTCACATCTACTCGGTAAGTTCTCTTAATGGAGACCAAAGACGACAAATTGTAGTGATAAAAACCATGAAGGAGAAGAATATTAGTATAAAAATTTCAGATAATGAAGAAGGATGAAGAATGCATTTGCTGAAACATAGTTATGAAACCAATGAAAATGGTGATATTATCTTGAAAAACACATGGAATAAACATCAACATACATCCGCACCAATCTTTTTTTTTTTTTTTTTTTTTATTTGTGCAGAATTTTATGAAGAAATATATTTGTCTATATCTCTGAGACGAGGTACTATGATTACTCACATACGTTATTTGAATTGTTATTCTCATTGCCATATTCACGTTTCGGCCATTGTATGCTCCGGCCTTCTTCAGGTAACTGGAATTTCAAACCGAACCCTTTATTTCGTCCGCCAGTGTAGATTGTTCTAGTTCCACGTACCATGCCTCTTCCAGATGTCTCGGTTATTTCCCTTTAACTCTCCAAGTTTTTTGGTTCACCACTGTTGTAGCCTGGTAATGAACTCCCAACTCTTTGGGTCTAGTCACTGGATCTAACCAACGTCTTAATCCACTGGATGTTGGTTAGATCCAGTGACTAGAACCAAAGAGTTAGGAGTTCAATACCAGGCTACAACAGTGGTGAACCAAAAAAAACTTAGAGAGTTGAGTTAAAGTTGAGACATCCAGAAGAGGCACGGTAGGTGGAACTAGAACAATATTCCCTGGACAAAATAAAGGGTTCAATTCGAAATTGTAATCGTCTGAAGAAGGCCGGAGTGTACAATGACCAAAATGTTGTGAATATAGCAATGAGGATAATAGTCCGGATAATGTGAGTAAGAAATATATTTATTTGTTCTTGGAAAGTATTGAGCAAAAAGACATTTCTTTTAATTATACACCACTAGGCTCAAACATGAACCAAGATATTCATGCTCTGAACTATTACAGATTTTACAAATATGTAATAACCATTTCTCTTGGTAGATTACACTGGAGCTCACTGAATTGTAGACACAATCTGGTTTTGTGACAAGTTTTAAAAACAAAACAAAGAACTTATATTTATGTTATATCGGAACATACCTATTCTATTGTTAATAGACTCTCCCACCTATAATAAGTAGTAGCGGTAGCAGTCGCGAGGGGGCTCAGAGTGGAGTTGGTGTGTCGGACATTGAAGTATCAACCACCACTAACTATTATTTCAAGTTCCTAACGTTTTGTACGTCGAACCTAATTTAGGACCGACTTAGTGAAATACAAGCCTTCACTGTGAAAACTACTCTACAACAATTTATTTATTATTTTGTTATAATTTTACATTTAATGAAATATTTAAGTTTGGGGTTCTGTTTCTTTTTTTTTTTTAGAATATCTTTGTAATGTCAAATTTTGGAAAAGCATACTCTTAAATCCCCTTCTAAGGGTTAAATAAACATCTTTGAAGTTTAGAAAACCCATTGCCTCCCCTTTTGAATATCTTTTATTTCATCATTTCATCTCGGGCAAGGTAATAAAACCACTAAGATGCGGGAGGGGGGTATTTGAGAAGTAGAAAAACAATTTTTCAGAGAACAATAAAACAACAAGAATGAAGAAGACAAAAGATATAATGATAGACATTGCATTTAAATTTAAAATTTTTGAAGATCAAAGTTTACTGGGAAGCAAGAAGAGTTCCACAAGTGAGATAATATGACAATTATTTCATTCTTTAAATTTGAATTTCTTTATGAATTTTGCATGATTTGGGCACTAGACATTAATAATGAAATAACAAGCCAACCTTTTTTTTATGGGTTGGATTCTCAACAAAACAAAACAAAATCTACAACAAAATCGTTAAGAGAAAAGAAACCTCTTTTTAATAATAAAATCAACGGAAAGAGAAAAAAAACAAACAAGAAAACTTACGCCTGAATAATTTTGGCTACCATGACTTTCATCTCATGCATAGCAAAGTTTTGGCCAATACAATTTCTGCAATAAAAAGAAAAACAAGAGATTTAACAATTCTTCCTGGTGTGTGTGTGTGTGTGAGAGAGAGAGCTAATGAATGAGAGAAAGAATGAGAGAGAGAGCTAATGAGCGAGAGAAAGACAGAGAGAGAGAGAGAGAGAGAGAGAGAGAGAGCTAATGACCGAGAGAGAGAGAGAGAGAGAGAGAGAGCTAATGAGCGAGAGAAAGAACAAGAGAGAGAGATAAAACTATTTACTTATATGCAGCAAATTTCTCCTAATGAGTCAAATACATTCGTAAGATTAGGAGAAATTTTTGTTAATCCCTACCAAAAGCTATCAAAGATCAGAAAAAATAATAAAATAAATGGTTAATCTTTTCAGTTGCATTTAAAATCACTCAAGTTGTCAGTGTTTTTTTTTTTTTTAAAGCTTTGCTCCAAGAAGAGGTAAAAGCTGTTAAAAGTTTAAAAAAATCTATTTCTATCAGACCAAAATATCAATAAGCAGTGGAAATCAATATGTTAAATTGATTCTATTACTTCTTCATGAGATGTTCAGGTTTTCATGGTGGACACTAATGGAAAAGACAAGTTTTTTGTTGTCACTCCCAATCAGACGAAAATCTCCATAATCAGTGACAACTAATAAGTGTTTTATGGTGGGGGCTAATATTTAAAAAAAAAAAAAGTGAAAAAACAAATAAAAAATTTTCTTTTTTAGGTCTATAAGAGAGCCGAAACTATTTACATATATATATTCAGCAAAATTCTCTTAATTTGCATGGAAATCCCAATTCTTAGGGAAATGGAAATCTAAGAATGGTTCACAGTGCTGAGAAGCAGTTGAAAAAATACTTCAAAATTCTTTCCGAATGAATGAGTCATATACATTCATAAGATTAGGAGTAATTGAAAAAAAAAAAACAAAAAAACAAAAAAAAACCGGAAATCTGAGACCAATCTTTTAAATTTGGAAAGGTTTCAAATTAATATAGTAGAAATTTAAAAGAGTTGATATGAAGAAGGCTCTTTTGTAAAAGACCACCTGGATAAGGTAGGAGTTCCATAAGAGGAGAAATTTAATAAGTTTTATATCAGTAGACAAACTCAGAAAGGAAATTACAACAGTGGGTGTAGAAAATAGGAAAAAGGCAGGAAAATTGTAAGACTAGAGAAAATGGCTTACCCCCTGTGGATGAAAACGGATTTGAACATGACTCGCATATAAAATATTCCCAAAAAGAAAATGGTGGCTTTACTTGTCGTATATTTAAAAAGATAGATCTTAGAGTCACATAGACTTTTGAAGAATCTCTTTTAACATCTACAGATTTAAACTATCACTTAATCTGTAAAAAGCGCTAAAAGATGTGACAGAGAAAAGTGTGACTACGATAGTGAACAGGAGTGTTCTTGGATTGTTTGACTTAGACTACTTTTGGTGATTTGAAAAAACAGGGATGGAATTTTACATCTGGTTTAATAGCCATAAAAAAAAAAGTATGAAAGAGAATATCAATTTCACTGTAGCTGCACATTTCAACCAACTGGACCACAGCAGTGATAATGTTAGATGTGGGCTTTTACTGTCTTCTATTCTGCCAAATGGGACGTAGATTCAAACTGTACCAAGGAGCATAAATTTTTCTTTATAAGATTTCTTGAGCATTCCATCAGGTAGACAAAAATAAATATTAGGTTGGTGCAAAAATAATGACGTAATAATGTCGTTTTTTGACGTTAAAAATACGTCAAAAAACGACATTATTACGTCATTATTTTTGCACCAACCTAATATTTATACTGTTTAATAAATAAATGGAATGCCTACTCAAATATGAGCATCCATTAAAATAACGTTTAAACACACACACTCACACACAAGCAAATATATATATATATATATATATATATATATATATATATATATATATATATATATATATATATATGTATGTTTTCCTTAACTTTAACATATATATATTTTTCCTTAACTTTTACAACTCAAAATACTCAAATTGTCTGCACTTATAAATTAAGTAAATTTATTAGAGAGTTATTCTTAGCATTGCTTGACAATGGAATGAATCTCTGGATTTTAAGTTTAATCTTAATAATTAAATTTACAACTTTAGTTTCATTTTTGAAACATAGAAATTTCTGTGTCACCATGGAATCATATTTTTAAAAAAGAAAATTATAATATTATGCTTTACTGTTTGAATTGAGCACTGTTTTTTAAAAAATAAAAATAATTGCTAAGAACACTGGATTATAAATCTTACTGTTCTTTTGTATTATTTTAATATATATATATATATATATATATATATATATATATATATCATTATTTTATTTTAGATATTAGCACAAAAACGTGGAAATCGCTACGCAATTGCTTTTGTGTTTCGGTACTATGTTGTATCTCTTCAGGCGAATGGTAAGTGACTGGTGATTAAATAATTTTAAAAAAATTTCAAAAGCAAAATATTACCTCTTTTCCGAAAGATGAAGGAGGAGGGGTAAGAAAACACATGATCAGAATTAAAAATAGACGTGTGTGTGTCTTGATCAATCAATTAAATGCTGGGTCTACACTTACAGAATCCACAAAGCCAAAAACAACAGACACCAACAATAACAGTTCTAACAAAAATTACACAAAATTCATAATCCTGTCCTCCAACACCTTTTCTACTAAACTCGCAAACAAATTAGTCACATCTCTAATACTAAGTTCATTGCCATTACTTCCAAGACAATCGGAGATATAATTAGGAAGAAAAATAAACCCAACATTGATTCAAATGCCAGGATTTACCAAATAAATTGTTTATAATGTTTATGTAGGGGAGACATCCTGTGATCTAAATGCCTGCATCTACGAACCTAAGAGAGACTTGCGTTTGGACAATAAATCTAACTCTCTTGTTTCATATTGAAATAATACTGGACATAACTTTGATATCACTGATGCCACCCTAATTAAAAAAGAACATCATTCTTTGAGGAGAAAATACTTTGAAAGCTTAATAACATTATTACCAACTATAAACACGTGTCTAAGACATTACATTTTTTTAAGCTGATTTAGGACAATTTTGATGCACTGAATCCAAAAACCACATTAGCTTTGCTCAATCAGGTCAACTTTTTGAGCTATGGTCGCATGCTTTTTTTGTGTTTTTGTTTACATTGTCAAGTCTATTAAAATATCTAAATATGCAACATATTTCACACAATAAAAACTAATTATGTTAATTATAAACTTATTAATTTTAACCAATCAGAAGTATTTTCAGCCAAGTATAGCTTCATAAATATTAAAACATGACTGCAAAATGTTTATAAACCAATAACATGCTATAAAGTGCTTGCATCTCAAAGCACACCAATTAAATGGTACAATACAAAACCATAGAATACAAATCTGAAAGGTTGTTTTATTAGTCATTATAATTCAGGTATACCGCCAAAATATCGTGCAGACGTAGTAGTAAGCATACCATGTGACTTTTTGGACCAATTAGGAATAAGTAAAGTTATATAATTCAGGAGCCAATATTTCAGTAATAATGGTATAAAAATAACGTTATTTGTCATCAGTGACAGAGTCCCTCAGATTCCACTAAGGGACATGTCATTCTAACTACTGATATTCAAGACCTCATTCATTTCCACACACGCACACACACTATCAGAAGATGACTCAACAGCACTGAAAGGGACCGTCTTCAGACAACGGTACCATCGTCTACGGTAAGAGCTTAATTTTATCTACCTTCTTTATACCAATTACGACTACGTATACATACACATACTATGTCACACAAACACACTAGTAATGACATTTCACCTTTCTCACATACGTACACAATACAGTTTGTACTATGCACAAAAACTCTTTTAACAATCAGAAAAAGACATTACTCATTCAGCACATTTCAACTAATTTCAATTCCAGCTTGAATTCTTGTCATATAAACTTAATGTTATTTTTTAATATTATGTCGAGTTTTTATACAAGATTTTATTCCTTTAAGAATGTCATGGGATTGTTGTAAAAGACCAAATTACGATCATTCCCACAACATTTTATATTATTGGAAAAATTGACCTGTTCGGGAGGAAATGATGCCTTGCCGAGCAATGAACGTCATCAATAAGCCTCTGGTGGACAGAGACAACATACTTTTTCCCTATCACTGCACATAAAGATCAGCTTGATCAAGCAGTTCACCAAAGAGCTGTACAAGGATGGTGGGATCTTTGAATGCCCTCAAACCTGTCAGCTCATCAGAATTTGAAAACTCGATGTAGGAAGTGGAACTGGAAGCATGGAAGGCTTTTGTTTTGGTTGTCAAGAACTTTGTTGGCAACAACAAGACCAGGAACTTTCAGAAATCTTGGATGCAACATGAGCATCAAAATGCATTATTTATTCTCACGTAAGTTCTGAGAATCTGGGATCGATGAGCAACGAACAGGGAGTGAGATTCCATCAGGACATGAAAGAGATGGAGGCCAGGTATCAGGGACACTGGAATGCAGCCATGATGGTTGATTACTGCTGGACTTTGAAGAAAGACACCCCTGCCGCTGATCATTCTAAGGGTTCGGATAAATGGAAGCCCTGAAGTTTGAACAATGATGACGTAACATGCAATTTATATTTATCAATTTATACTATTCAATTTATTGTGATCGATGTTTGTAACATTTAATTAATAAATTTTTCCTCTTAAAAACTTATTTCAAATGAAAATATTAACAAAATTCAATCAACAATGTTACAAAAAATGTAATCAATTTAGAAGATCGGACTTTTAAAAATTCAACTTAGCACAAAAACATCACTTGATCAAGAGAAACAGATGCTATTTTTGGATTCATCGGTCAAAAATTATCCTAAATCATTTGGAAAAACATAGACAACTTAAAAAAAAAATTGTTGCTCAGTGAATAATCAAGAAGGAATATATGGAAAATCAAGAAGAAAGGGATTGTCAGTGGTCAGGAATGATTGCAAAGACTATTATATCTATAATGCTAATGCACTGTTAATGATTTTATTGTAGAATTGTATTATAAATGACTCCTAGCAAAATATTTTTACTATAGAAAGTAATAAAGGCAACGTTTGGACATTCTTTTCAAATTGAGACTTAAATGTAAAGTATTGATGCGTACATACCTTGGCCCTGCAGAAAAAGGGATGTACATATATGGGTTCTTGGGATTCGGATCATCTGATAAAAATCTGGATGGTAAGAATTCCTGGAAAAGAATTGGTTAGAAAATTTATAAATTCTAAGTTTAGAAGTGAAACAATTTTAAATTTTTATAAGGAAACATTTGGCATTCATTGACCGAGCAGCCAGTGCGATTTGAGTTATGGGGGGGGGGTTCATTATTTCACTGACCAACAGGCTGGGATCAAAGTGTAGTATCTGTTCTACTCATATGCAATGGTAAGGCTAATATAAACTGTTTCCTTATAAGGAAACATTCGACATTCATTGTAAATAAGCATTAAGGTTAGATTTTTTAAAGTTGTTTTTTTATCCCCACCGACAAACTGTATATATAGGGACTCGTTAGGACTTTATCAAGAAACTGGGTTATTATAATGGTGGTAGTAAAATGTGTTGTTTTGTTGTAAGGAAAATCAAAGTATGTTTGGGTCTGTGATTGTGTCAACCTAAATGAAATGTAGGACAGATGAAGACCAGGTTTCCCATTTCCTTCTGGCCTTGTGTCATACTTTCTTGTAATTAACAAGAATAAATATTGCAGCCAGTCATACTTGAGCTATACTTTTCTTCATTCCCTGGTCATCAGTATCTGTTATCTTCATCTCTCATACTAATGATAATATTTCATTGTGGATATGAATATAAACTACATCTGACGGCATGGGATATGATCAGGAGGTTTTGGGGAGTGTGGAACCATCTCTTAATTGCTGTTGTTCCCAGGCCTACCCTGACTCAGCGTGGTAGCACCTGTTAGGGTCCCAGCTATGGGCAAATAATGAACCCCCCCCCCCAAATTGGGGTGAAAAAACTGAAAATAAATTACCAGCAAAAGATTTTTGCAAAAAGAAAATTACTTAAGCCCCCAAGAAAATTAGATTTCAGCATTAAATGAGGCATAAGGTGATGATATGTTGTTAAACAAACACTGCTTTACTCTTACCCTCTTGCCTTCAATCTGTCCTGCGAGTATCAAATTTTCCAAGCCTACTTTCCTCATTATGTGCCCCAGAAACTTAAACTATCTCTTCCTGGTGTTAAGTAAGTGTCCTTTTTGCTTGCATTTTCTTCAAAATTTCGTCATTGCTTACATATTCGCTCCATAGTATTCCTCTGGAGAACCACATTTCTTTTGCTTCAAGTCTCTTCTTCATCTTTGAGGAGATTGTCTATCATTCACTGCCATATACGATGACTGATATTATGTAATAGTTCAGTACTCTTTTCTTTGTTTCTAATGAAATTTTCTGTTTCTTAATATTTTGCTTAGCTTTTGGAAGGCACCTTTTGCTATCTCAATGTGTCATCAGATTTCAGTGCCACATTTTCCATCCTCCGTTAAAACATTGCCCAGATATTTAAATCGTTGTACTTGTTTGATTTTAGTATCTCCAATTTGTAATTTGCATGCTGGGCTGTCCCTTTTGCTAGCAACCATGCATTCCATCTTCTTGGAATTAATGTTTAGTCCTTTCTTCTCTCTTTCCTTTGCTACCCTCTGTAGGATTTCTTTTAGTTTCCTTTTCATGTCTACTATCAACAAAATGATGAAAGACATGCTCATCAATAGGATACATAAAATCCAAGGATTAGAGAAATAAAAATACTGTATTTTTCAGCTTACAAGACGCACTTTTCTTTCCTAAAAAATACCCGGAAAAATACGTGCGCATCTTTCAAGACGAATGTAATGCAATGCCCAGGCCCATGTATGTTTGAACAATCACCTAATTGGCTTGACTGATAGGGACATGGATTTGTATGTTGAGTCATTACACTATAATATTAGCTATCTAATTCGGCTTTTTATCTGATTTAATCTCAGTACTTGGATATTACAAGTATTTCCAAGACTATAAACCTTCCCGGAGCTGAGCCACAAGCTTAAACATGCTCTGTTTACTAGCAGCAGGCAGGAGCCTTTCTGCACTTGACTAGTAAGTCATTGCCATAGAAACAAAATCAAACGAGTGATTAATGTAAACAATACGTGGCGCCAGAATGTGAGAGACGCATGGTGAATGTGTTGTTGTATGAGAATGACTTTTTTTTTCTTAGAAATTTCTTTTCAATATTAGGGTATGTCCTTCAAGCTGCAGTGTCTTGTAAGCCAGAAAATATGGTACTTCAAATATAATGAATATATTAGAGAATTCTTCCATAGCGAAAAATAGCATGTTAGTTCAAAACTGATAACCAACCTCTGGTTCCTGCCAAACATCGGGATTATGGTGCATGGCATAAATATTGATGCTGACCGTCATGCCAGCAGGTAACAGCTTGCCATCAATTACAAATGGGCGTGTCAGACTGCGGGATATCATTGGCACGGTTGTAAATAAGCGAATAGACTCCTTGAGACATGCTGTCAGGTATCGGAGTTCTGGCAAATCTTCCCTGGAAGTAGAAAATCAGAAATGCAGGATAAAGGAATTCTAATTTTGAGTTGTTGCGGTTTTTTACTCTTTCTTCGACTTTTCTCTTTTGACATCTTGAGCACAATTACTATTTTAAAGTTTGGTTTAAAGTCTTAAGAGTTGTGCAGATATCACAATATGGAAGACTACAATGAATAAATACTATAAATAAATGAGAAAATGAAAAAAAAAAAAACTCTCCTCTGATATTTTATTCTTCAAAAGGACTTCACAAGGTAAATTAATGTTTTTATTGATGAACTACCTACTAGCTGTACCTTTTGGCAAAATAAGAAGCATACAGAGGAAAAAATGAGATAAAAAACAACACCAAGTGAAAAATCATTCATACAGACTCGGACATTGACACATAGACAAGACATAGAAGGAGCTGGTCATTGTGTCTAACTGCGCAGTGACCCAATGATTACACACGGACATGGAATGATGATAATATTAATATGAATTCATTTTGGAAGGGATCAGTTTATTACTTAGTAACATTAATTTTATGTGCAGTCAAATCTTATATTTATACTAGTTTAGCCAAAGATATTTATAGTAATTATGGGTGGGAGGGATCAGTTACTTAATAACACTAGAATAAAACAGATCCCCCCTTTTATGTCTAGCCAAATCTTATATTAATACTAGTTTATCTATGTCATCAAAAAAAGAAGAAAAGTCATATTTAGTAGTTCTAGGGAATCAGTTTATTACTTAATAGCAACAGAAAACAGATCCCTTATTTTATGTCTAGTCAAATTTTATATTAATACTAGTTTGTCTATATCATCAAGAAAAAAAAGAAAAAAGTCATATTTAGTAGTTCTAGGGAATCAGTTTATTACTTAATAGCAATTGAAAACAGATCCCCCATTTTATGTTCAGTCAAATCTTGTATTAACACTAGTCTATCTATGTCATAAAAAAAGAAAAGTCATCTTTAGTAATTCTGGGGGTTCAGTTTATTACTTAATAACAGTAGAAAATAGATCTCCCATTTTATGTCCGGACAAATCTTGTATTAATAATAATTTATGTCATAAAAAAAGAAAAGTCATCTTTAGTAATTCTGGGGGTTCAGTTTATTACTTAATAACAGTAGAAAATAGATCTCCCATTTTATGTCCGGTCAAATCTTACATAAATACTAGTTTATCCATACTAAAAAAACAAACCCATATTTTGTTAAGTCTTAATTCTTAATATTATCAAGTTTTCATATGCGACTCGTTAATATTATTAATTATTATGAGAAAGAGTTGTGAAAATTTCACGATTTTCCTATTTGAATTTTCAGATGAATCTTAATTCTTCAGTTAATGATTGAGTGCGGTAGCAAGGCCTCTGATTGGCAAATTGAAGATTTTGAGGAGCGTGGAACCACCTTTTAATTGCTGTTCTTCCCAGGTTCAACCTGACCTGGGGTGGTAGTACCTGTTAGGGTCCCAGCTATGGGCAAATAGTGAGCCCCTTCGAAACAAAAACAAAACACTATGAAAGTATGAACATATATATTTATAGCAAAATGACCAACAATACATTTTATCTGTACTTGAAGTCATGCAATTGTCTTCAAAATAATTAGATTTCGACATTAATTAACCCACAGAGATGTTATGCTGCTAAACAAAATCAACCAAATAAAACCAATTAACAATTGAATAAGCTCATAGCAAGTTCTATGACAATAAAATATCCGTAGAAATTCCTTTATCACATCATTAAATATTTGAGCTTAAATTTAACAAAATATTGCAATAACAATATGAATGCTGGTGATTATTTTAAGAAGTAAGGGGGTACAAATGAAAAGATTTGAAATTGACAACTTTTCCCATGTCATTGAAACAGATTTTAAAAACTTCTATCTTTCCTTCTTTTTTTCTTTCATTCATATGTCTTGCTTTTCTATGCAGTAAGAACGGAATAGTCCATTATTTATAAGGTATTGGCAGGAGACTTTAAACATTTATCTTCCCTTCTTTCAAGCCAAAATCCACATATTATGAACATTTCTCTTGATAATAATAGTTTTAAAATAATTCAGCAGATGATGTTATTTTATTTATGGTAACTGGATTTTTGGCGATTGTTTTACTCGTTCTCTTTCGTTTAATACTGTACATCGGAAAAATGTCACTTTTATCGCGGTTGCCATTGATTCTTAGCCTTGAGATCAAAGTGTAGTAACTGTTCTTAGCTTAATTTGTTTCTCTCTCTCTCTCCATATCTATCTTCCCTTCATTTCTTTCTTTTTTACGAACATTTCTCTTAATAATAAATTAGAAATAATTCAGCAGATGATGTTATTTTATCTATGGTAACTGGGTTTTTGCCGATTACCTTGGATTCCCTCCTTCAATACTGTGCCTCTGCAAAAAGGTGATTTATCGCCATCACATTTCAGCCTTGTTGCTAAGATCAAAGTCTAGTAACTGTTCTTATCATTTTAATCTGATTTTCTCTCTCTCCACTTGTATCTTCACTTCTTTCTTTCTTTCTTTCTTTCATTTTATCACTGATATCAAGTAATGTCTTTTCCCCCTCTTTCTGTGCGTTCAAAGTGAAGAATAGTCTATTATGTATGAAGTATTGACAGGACATAATGGTCGTGCAAAGTAATGAAAGGAGGGCCAAGCACAATTATAATAGAATGATTAAAATGCTTGGACAGGAAGATCATTCACAGAGACTCTGATATTAGCACACAGCTGAGACTGATGAAGGGTAATGGTTTGGTTGCAGTAACTCAACGACCAGACCTGATCATGGGTTTGATCATTAGGATTGAATCATTCATATACACCGTTGTTCAAATTAATTGAAACAACTGCTTTAGTTTTCTTTCTTTCACCATACATTCAGTTTTAGACCCACTGGAATGACAGTTTAGAATCAATTTCTATATTTTCCTCAGATTAGGTCATTTGCAGTGGTGTGCAGTAATACGAATCTATTTTCGGGGTTTATGATGAAATTTGTTTGGTCTTGAAAAATATTGCATCATCCACTATTATATCAAATTTTTATCACACCCACACACATATTGTCTCGACTGTCAATTAGTTGTCTTACAGCCATTGTCTGCGATGGACGTTACTCCAAGGAAGTGTACGAAAATCGTAACACTGCACGAACACATTGGTAAGCCTTACCAGTGAGCAAATCTAAGTACTAGAGACTGGCCCGGAAACTATCCTGATTTAAATCCAGTCGAGAATCTGTAGTCAATCCACAAGGGACAACTTCGTGGAATGGTCATACGAAGTACTAACATCTGCACTGGGTTAGGTTTCATTGGAAAAATACAAAAAAGTAAATAAAAACAGAATTATTCGTTTTGTTTCAAATGATTTTCACAAGGGTGTATATATAGATGAACAAAAAATAATAATGCTTTTTATAATTATATATTGGGAGAAACTGTTATGATGGAGCTAACTAAGGGAGATAACCATATGGAGTTATTGGCCTTGACCGGGGAGTTTGACCTGGGGAGGACTAGAACAATGGTGGACACATACGTGTAAATCAAGGCTTAATTCAATCTATTCCCATCCAATGGTTACATGTTGGTTTTACCAAAAATAAAGGTTTTAAATAATAACAATATCTGATCTTCAACTTGATTATTGCGTTATAAGAGAAATATTGGAGACGCAGGTATGCTTAATTTTCTGTTCAAATTTTACATTTCTTTCTGTTTTTGATGTGATTACATCAATAAAAACATTTTTCTGACGAAGTCATTTCAAAGGCCGAAACGCCTAACTTAAGATGTCTCCCATTCTGTCATTTAATTAGCCAGATATATCACAGACAACTCCCCACAAAATGTCTCCTTTTATAATCACAAAGACCTAAATGTACCCAATTTAAAATCTTGTTTGATCAATTGAACATCTTTGTGATGTTGTTTTCACAATATTTTGACCAGCACACTTTCCAGTCTTCTTCGGGTGTATAATTCATACGAAAAGAAAGAATTCTATTTTATTTTCATTATCATTATACTTACAGGCCTTTCAACACCCCCGTTCTACAACCCCAGCTACCCCCAAACCTGTTACCCCTCCCACTCTTCTTTGCCACTCACAACCATCTCAACCATTGTACTCTTGTATTAAAAATCACACACATGAGAAAAATGATAAAATTTGATAGAAATTTAAATTTAAAATTTAGTAAACAGTATTTATTCACAGCTGAACTTACCCCTCCTTCAAATGAGATTCTGTTTTCCTACAGAAGACCCTCCTTCTCCTCCTTCTTTTCAATGAAACTTTATATTCAACTAAAGAAAGGATGAAAGAAATTAGCCACGCTGATGGAAGTCAAAAACTCTAAAGACGATTGAAAGAGAGCTGTTTCATTTTGGGTGTGTTAAAATTAACGAACCATTCATTGCCCCAGTTAACAACAGAAATAAGATAATTAGCTGCCAATTTGACCTTAAGGTCATTAATGAAAATTAGGAACAATGTTGGTCCTAGGATAGAGAGCTCTGTGTGTGTGTGTGTGGGGGGTACACCTGCATCAATGCAAAAAGATTCAATAAGGAATCAGTTCAAAAATTTGTCTGGAAATAACATAACCTTTCAACCGAAGAAAACCAAACTGTCAAAAACCTTCGAGATGTGTCCAAAGCAACAGCTTCAGCTTCATCACATTCTTATCTAAAGCTTTTTTAGTAATAATCGTTATAACATCATCAGTTGACCTAGAGAATCAAAAGGCCATATTTCTTATCTGAAAGAAGACCGTTCAAGTTGAGATGCTTAACCAATTCAGAGTTGATTAGATCCTCTAGTATTTCCCCCAAAAGAGGCAGAATTATCACAGTCGTGCTGAGATCTGCCATCTAAAGTAGGCATTCCCCTTTATCTCACAAGATAAGGGGAGTGCCCCCTTTGGTCAAACGTTCTTTTGCTAGTATCATTTGGTGTAGCTTAACAGACCAATCCTTGCATGACACCCTCTCCTGCAGGTGTAACAGATGAAGCTGGAATCAAAAATAGAGGTTTGATATTGCTTTCTCTTCTACTTATTTTGTCTTCTTAGCTCACACAGTTGGTTTTTTGAACAGCATAGCGCTAGCCTCTGCTAGCTGTTCCTAGCTACCAGAGTTAATGCCTGTGTATTTTAGGTCCCACTTGCAAAAATCCTTGAAATATAATCTAGGGCAGTCTACTGGATGGCGTCCCATGGCCAGCACACCGTACAAGATGTCTTTTGGTATACGCCTGTCGTTCATTCAATGTATGTGACCCAATCATTGAAGACGACATTGACAAAGGAGAAGATGAAGGCTCCAGGAGCCTGCTTGCTCCAGCAAAACAGTGTTAGTAACTTTGTCTCTCCATGTGATGCCAAGGATATGTTGTAGGTAGCGGAGATGGAAGCTTTCCATGCATTTTTCCTGTCTGACATATTTCGCCCATGCTTCACTGCTGCAAAGAGTAGACTACTAACGACACATGCATAGAATAATTTTAGGTTGGTGCACAAAGTCAGCTGACTGTTGTCTCATATTCTCTTGCTCAATTTCGCCAACAGTGCTGTTTTGGCGAAGCATTGGTTACTATGCAATCAAAATTACCAATGAATAATGCCAGTATTCAAATACTGTGGGCAATCTCCGATCATTTAGTAAGCATTTATTTTATTAATTATAATCGAGGCAAAAATACAAATGTAAAAATAAAACGAGTCTCTCTTTGGATGTTTATAAATAAAAAGGATTTTCTTGCATGTTTTCTTTATTTTTAAGAACTAGATTTTTTTTTGCAACACACTGACGTATGTTGAAATCCTTACAGTAGTATTGTTGAAGTTATTGCTACAATTTTTTGTCAACATTTACAAACTCAACGTTTTTTTTTTAATTTCGCAAAGCAATTTGAATAAGCTAATTTCTTTGGAAAATTACTTTGACAAAAACGCCACTTTGCGGTTTTTACACACACTATTAAACCCAACTGCATTTTGTATACCCTGTCACCTGTTTATACTTCTCCCCAAAATTTTGTTTCGATTGGTCAATGATGGTTAAATTAAAGGGCATAATGAACAGATGAACGAACTAACAGAAGTCACAGAATTTTATATATAGATTGTTCATAGATATGATTTTCACTTCAGCCCCAGTAGATAATCAAAATAAGTAAACTCTTTGAGAGTGTAACCGTTCGTTGCGACTGGTAAATTATTGTTAAATGAATCTCGCCGACTATTGAGAGTAGAATTTTTTCAGCCTTGTGTTGTACTAAGGTTATTAAATATATTTGGTGGATGGACTAACGGAAGTCAAAAGATTTTATATATAGACAGATTGAAGCTCACCTTTAAAACTTTTCACGCCTAAAGGTAAAAATATATTTCGAGATTTAAATTTGAAGAGATATTTTGTTTTATATTAGTTACCATGTGACTTCTGTTCGGCCTTGTAAAACATTTTGGATTTCATTGTAGATATTTTGTTGCTCATTCGGATAAATAGCCATTGCATACATCATCCAACTTAGGCTACAAGCTGTCGTGTCATGACCTGCAAATGGATAGAACAGAGAAAAAAATAAAAGTTTTTCTTTTGTCTATCACTGAATGTGACAGACAAGGATATATATATATATATATATATATATATACTAGCAGTAGAGCCCGGCGTTGCCCGGGGATGTAACAGTAAGAGATAGATCAAGTATCGACCATCATAAAGACTGAAAAATAAAATTTGCAAAGATTATTGTTTAAGGTTGACGGACACGCATGTCTTTTTTTTTTTTTTTACGAATTAGTCAAGCCCAAACTTAAACAAAAACATTGTTTTCAATCGTTATGGATCTACCGATTGAATAGAATTTTATTATAAACAATTGTCTTGTAAATGGAATTTTTAAAGCATTCTGAATGTAAAAATAAAGAAAAAGTGTGCAAGACAATAAGAAACACTACCTGCAAAAAAAAAAGTGAAGTTTATTTGAAATCGGTTGAAAAATGTAGGAAATCCGATCCCATATATACACACACACACACACACACACACACACACACACACACACAATCTGGGTTTTATAATAAGTATAACTCGATATGAGTTGTCCCCCTTTCATTCTCGTGATGCCTCTTAATCGTGTTTTCAAATTGATTTTGTGCAAAAACAATTGTGTTTTTCCAATATTTTGCGCTGTTAGAACCACCACAAGGTAATTTTACGTAGTCCCGTGAAGTTTAGTTGAAATCGGTTGAAAAATGTAGGAAATCCGATCCAATATATAAACGCACAGACACACAAATCAACCTGGCATGAACAATAAAAGTAAACATAACTGACCTTCAAACATGAAAGTATCAACCTCGTTTCTTATCTCAAGGTTGCTCAGTCCGACGCCATCGCTGTCCCGAGCAGTCACCAGGATATCAAGAAAGTCCAATTTTTTCTTGCCTTTCATCATATCTGGATTAGCTTTCTAAAATTAAGAAACAGCAAACATGATAATTATTAAGCTGGGTGAACTTTTAAGAACATCGAGTACTTTAAACTTTGTCGCCTTGTGCCAGACTAAATAAATAAATATCATTAAATAAAAATTTAATAGAATCAATTTATTTTTTACACTACTCTTCACGCAGGTACAAGTCTCAAGAGCCGCTCAAAGTAGAGAGTGACTGAATAAAGTTTTACATATGTAAGAGAAAGCGGTTAGAAGTGTAGATTATGAGGATATGTAGGATAGATAATGATTGGCTCGAAACTTAAAGACGTTAACCCTTTCAAGACGGAGTTTTATTTTCAGTTTCAGCGCCAAGATGGAGCACATTCCACATGCCCTCCTCCCTTGGAACATAAAATATCGATGTAAAATCACAGAACACAGCAACCCATCTTAGAAACCACCATTGAATGACCAAGATGTGCAAGAAATACAAGAAGCATCCTGATTGGCTGGTAGAAAGACCAGCTAGCTAATAAATGTGAAATGCAATCTGAATGACTGGTAGAAAAACCAGCCAGCTAATTAATGCGGGAAGCAATCTGATTGGCTGGTAGGAAGACCAGCCAGCTAATTAATGCGGGAAGCAATCTGATTGGCTGGTAGAACGACTATCCAGCTAATATCGGGGCTTGTATTATTAGTCCGATGAATTGGGTCATTCGTCTTTTTCAGCGTTTAACTTTTCGGCACAGTCGTTTCCGAAGGGTTAAGATTGTAATGATTGGGTAAGCATCATCTTGGGAGTTTGTTTCATAAAGCAGCAGCTCTTGGGGGAAGTAACTATTCGAATGGAACTTCCTCCTTACCAATGGAATACGAAGGGAATAAGGATGGTTTGCCACTCTCTCTATGGCATGGTGGGTCTTGGTTGTAAAGGTTTGAACTTATGATTTGCAGGAAGATGACTTCAAGTGGCTGACATAAAGATTTTAAAAATTTGGAATGTAGCTCATGGGACTAGCAATAAATTAGTGATAGATATGTGGGAAAGGGATTGAGAGGTTGGGGGGGAGGGAAATCATCATCCGCAACACCATATAGACTGTCAAGGCTGGAAAGAAATAATTGTGCAGCTCCAGCCCATCAATATTCCATTTTTTGGTAAGCATCATGACTCTTGTCAAGGTAGAGTATGATATGTGAATTATGGCACTTTCTGGAGTAATATAACGCACTGAGCATTTTCCAGCCTAGAATTTTTTCCAACACACTGATGCGTGTTGTAATTTTTACAGTATTTACATGAAGTGATCGCTAACATTTTTGTTGAGATTTACAAACTCGACATTGCGTTCAATTTCGCAAAGCAATCGATGAAATTTGAATGATTTATTTGGAAAAATATTTTGACCAAAAATCTACTTTTTTTAAAAATTTCTTTAATTTTATAGAACTTCATGTAAACAATATTTTTTCATTTTTGATAGAGAAAAATAAATTCTTAGGATTTCTTACTCTTGAGCATGCAACATAGAACTGGCACCCTATGCAACCCACTAAAACCAACTGTTAATTGTTTGTACTTTTTCCCAAAATTTGATTTTGATCAGTCAGTATATGGCTATTTTAGAGGGTATGATGGATGGATGAATAGACTAACAGAAGTCACAGAATTTTATATATAGATTGTTCATAGATATGATTTTCACTTGAGTCCCAGTAGATAATCAAAATAAGTAAACTCTTTGAGAGTCTAACCGTTTGTTGTGACTAGAGAATTATTGTTAAGCGAATTTCTCCAACCGTTGAGAGTTGAATAAGTTTAATTTTCACCAAGACCTCCATTTTTGTAGCCTTGTGTCAAACTAAGCTTATTAAATATCTTTGAGTGTCTTGCTATAGAGAGCAAGTTATGGACTATTACCATTATATTGAGATCAATCTTTACCAGGGGCCCTTACACTCATGACCTTGTGACATATTATGCTAATATAATCATGGTAAACATCAGATAGAGTGGGAAGAGAAGAAAAACGGAGAAAGAAGAAAAAATAGTGTGAAAAGAAAAGAACATGGGTGGGAGACGAGAAAGAAGAAGGAAGAGGAAACGAAGAAGAAAGAGAGGAATAAAAAAGCAGAAAGAAAAGACAAAAGAAGAGAAAGAAGAGTGGGAGAGAAAAGAGAGAGAGAGAGAAGAGAGAGAGAGGAGGATCAAGAGTAAAGAAAGACAGTGTTGAAGAAAAAGGGAAGAAGAAAGAGAGTATATAAGGGAAGATTGTGGAGGAGAAAAAGGGGAAGAAAGAGATGGAAAAAGATAAGAAGAAAAAGGAGGAAAAAGGAAGAGGGAGACAAGAAGGAATAGGAAGCGAGTGAGTAGAAAAAGAAAGATTGAGAAGAATAAAGAGGGAGGGAGGAAGACATAGAAAAAAGAAGGAAAGAAGAAAAAAGAGCAAGAAAGGAAAGGTTTCAAACAACAAACTACTTTTGGATAGAAGTGAAAAATTGTTATTAAAATTTCTTTTTTGAAAAAAAAAAACAAAAAAAATTACTTTTAATGCCCTAATGTCAGGAGAGTTTACATAACAGAAAACATGCTAAAGCAGAAGGATCTTAGTGTTCGGGTTTTTTCTCGTAACTTTAATGCCGTTTTCCAATTCGCTAACCATTAAACTACACCCTTGTGAAAATTAATTGAAACAAAAAGAATAATTCCATTATTATTTACTTTTTTTTCCATATTTTTCTAATGAAACATAACCTATTGCACATGTTAGTACTTCATACGTCCATTCTACAAAGCTTTTTCTTTGCAGATTGACCACAGATTCTTGATTTGATTTAAATCAGGAGAGTTTCCGCACCAATCTATATTACTTTGATTGGCTCATTGGTAAGGCTTGTTTGTGCAGTGTTACTATTTTTGTATGCTTCCTTGGAGTAACGTACATCGCAGACAATGGCTGTAGGACAACTAATTGACAGTTGAGACAATAGTGTATGGGCGTGATAAAAATCTGATGCAATCATGGATGATGCAATATTTTTCAAGGCCAAACAAATTTCATCACACACCCTGAAAATAGATTCATCTTACTGCACACCACTTCAAATGACCTAATCCGAGGAAAAAATAGAAATCGATTACACCCTGCCCCTCAAGTGATTCTAATACTAACTGTATGGTGAAATAAAGGAAACTAAAGCAGTTGTTTCAATTAGTTTGCACAAGGGTGCATGTTCCTATTCCAACGTTAAAATAAATTTCCATTGATTTGCAAGAAAAATACCTTCCCAAAGCTAAGCAAAAAAAAAAAATATTGTTAGAAACACAAAATGAGTACTAAACTGTTATGTAATATCAGTTCTACTCTATGGCAGTGAATGCAGGACAATCTCCTCCCAGATGAAGAAGAGACCTGAGGCTGCATGAATGTGGTTCTACAGAAGAATAATGAGAATAACATGGACTGAACATGTGAGCAATTAGGAAGTTTTAGAGAAAATTGCAACAAAAAGGACACTCAAACTTAAAATCAGAAAGAGTTAGTTGAAATTTCTGAGGCATATAATGAAGAAAGTGGGTTTGGAAAATGTGGTGTGTAACGCAACAATTCAACTGATGATAACAGGTAGGCACAAAGAAACACGGTGTCGCACGTCCAACCTTCTCACGAGCCGAAGGCTTTCTGATTTGAAACAGCAGAAACGAGCCTGCTTTATACAGCTGCGGACCGACCACGATTTGCATGCGAATCACGAGGCAACGAGATTTCGCGTTAACTGACCGAGACCGCTCGGCATAAAACGCGGGCGCCGCCATTTTGGTTTTCTTTTTTACCATTGGAAGGACCAGAGTTTACATACTGCGCAGATTCGAACGCGTTTCCGAGGTAGGCCATTTTCACAATTTTCCCACACTCCCCTGATCTCATGATCACAAACAGGGCAGGGAGGTGGCGATCGTCGCCGTCGAGTCCCTCTCCGAAGGGGGATAACACAAGCTTCATCCTCGTGCGTGTTCTCGTCTGTGGTTTGAGTGTCGGTAAACACTGTGTCCGCCGGGAGGCTGCTGTTATCAGAATCGCTGCCCTGCAGGTCTAACTCAAGGCAGATTGAACGCTCACTACTCCCAGACTCGGAATCGCTTTCATCGCTCGGTAGCGGTAGTGATTGCGTCACCGGTCGCAAGTCTTTAATGTGACGAGGCACCCCATCAACTCTCATAGATTGCGGGCTGATAACCTCCGTAACACGTCCAGTGCCGTATTTTGTCGTACACTTGCCGCGTGGGTTTTTGACCCAAACGATGTCTCCTTTTTTCAATCTCCCTCCAGTCACTTCTAGTTCAGGCAGCGGGTTGGCTTCGATGCCTTTCACGCGGACATGATATTTGTGCAGTGCATCAGCCGGCGCCGTGGATGGTGAAATGTTATCCTTCGGGGCGACATTATACCAGTAAACCGCTTCCGATACTGTACAGCCCTTCCTGGCTGCGATGGTCTTGATGGTTCTGTGGTTCCGCTCCACGATGCCGTTTCCACTTGGCGAGTAGGCACATCGAAACCGCAGATGCACGTCCCAAGTGTCCGCAAATTTTTAAAATCTTTACTGGTGAACGCAGTATCGTTATCCGTCAGTATTTCCATGGGTGGGCCTCGCTCCAGGAAAACATTCTCCAACAGTCGAATGACGGTGCTCGCGTCTTGTCTGCGCAGCGGCCGCCATACCGCAAACCTGGAGGGACCGCAATCAATGAGTGTTAAAAATTCTCACCATTGTAGTGAGTTATGTCCATTGCCAGTCTGCTCCAGTTGCTCTTCACGCTCAGTTCTCCTCTTTCCCAGTGAACGGGTGCCGGATCGATCGACTGACAGGTTGTGCAGGCCTTCACAACGGATTTAACGCTTTCTCTGGACACCTGCGGGTCGACTAACCTGGCGAAGTACAGAGTTCGTTTCACGCCCGGATGTCCGCATTGACGATGCGTATTGGCAACCTGGTCCTCATCCAGTCGTCTCCCTGCCACTGCACAGCTCTCGAGTGCCGGTTCTCCTCTCTTGAGCAGTTCTAGCCACCTGTGCGGTACTCTGGTGAGGCGATCTGCACGGTTCTGACAGGACTGCACGAGTGTCACGTCTACGGTCAATCCATATTCGTCCACCAACGATCGCAAAATGCCCAGCCGTCGCCTGACCAGCATCTCACCAGCCGCCCTTGTGTTCACCCGTGCCTTCCCGGTCAAGGTGTCTGAAATCCACCGGTGCACACACGCCGAATCAGTGACCAAGTGCAACGTTGTCGCCTCCCACTGGAGCCAGATTCACTCCTTTAAGCGCCGCATCGAGTTCAGCCAAATTAATGTGCCTGGCATCATTAGTCGGACGCAGCCAGCACGCATCTTCGATGACATTTCCGTTTACTTCAATGCCACTCCTGTCGCCACGGAACTCGCATCCACCCAGACTGTGATCTCGTCACCACTCATGCACCAGTCTCCTCCGACGGGATCCAGTTCCCGCACTCTACTTAACATCTCTGCTAGTATGCGACAGAGAGAGGGATCTTTGATGTTATCATCCCATCCATTGGTTGCTGCGGTTGCCAGGCGCTTGACGAATGCAACTGCCACCCTGAGCCATCCACACACTGGGAAGTGTCCAACAAGTTTCCACACAACGAAAAAATACGCGCCGCCGGGTCAACACATCAGGGGCTTCCGGAATTTGACTTCCTCGTTTCCATCGGAGGGTGCCATTTTCTTCCCAGACCTGCAAGCCAAGAACTCTTGCTCCATCTCTCAGTCGCACCGGATCCTTGCACACCAAACCGTAATCCGAAAAGTGTTGTCTTACACGCGATGCAGAGGCCAAACTTTCATTAATGAAGATATCATCAACGTATGCTGATGTGGCACTTTCAATTGTGCGGTCTTGCGATGCGATGGCGTCTATAACGGATTTCATGATGAGTGGCGCTACATTTAGCCCAAATCCTAGCCGCGTAAGACAGAAGCGTTGGCCTTTGAAAATAACCGTTTGAAATGGCCACAGCGCTTCGTCGATGTGAATCTGAAGATATGCGTTCCGCAGATCCAGAAGCGACACATTGACTCCCTGCCGCCGCCACGTTCTCAACTTATGTGCGCACACTTCTGCATCGGCAGTGAAAGCATCCACAAAGTCGTTCAATTCGCGGTAATCGAGTACCGGACGCACCTTCTGTTTCTGCTCCTGCACGACTGCCATCAAGGGAATCAGACCCTTTGGGGGTCCCAGTCTTTCCTGGGGGTACGGAATCAGCCAGCCGTTCACAATCCACTGCTGAAGCTCTTTCTCGTATTTTCCTCTGATGCTGTCTGGAACTTTGTACTCAGCGACCTTGTTGCGAAGCTGAACTGGCGGGTCTTTTGGGGCCCATTTCCACCTGGCGGTCCACACTCTCGTCGGAATTGAAGGAGACGTCGAAATCCGGCTCACTAACGCAAAGGGCTGCACACCTTTCTTCTTTCACCCAGTTCCACATTTCCGGCTGGCGTGATCATCATGCCCCTAACGCTCGGATCGCATCAATCCCAAGTAGCAGGTCGTACCCGAGGGGCCTTTGACGTGCCACCAAGACGTCGACTTTGGCATGACTCCCTCCGTCTGTTAGGACTGACACAGTCCCGACACCACAACAGGCCCGGGACACCCCGTCAATCGTCCGAATCTCGATTTGTTGACTGTTCCATGTCACGCATCGATCCGCACTAACGATCGATCGGGAACATCCAGTGTCAACGAGCGCCGAACATCGTTTACCCTCAACGTACACGTTGACAACAGGCAATGCCGCATTTACTGACCGAGAGGGGGCAAGGGTTGCGACAGCACCTTGTCCCCGGACTCATTCCCGAGCAATCCTGTGCTACATGGCCTAACTCTTTGCAGCGATAGCAGCGTAGTCGTGCTCGGTTCCGTCTGCTGCTCCTCCTACGTCACTTCGGCTCCGGCAGTCCCTAGAGAAATGGTTGGGTCCACCGCACTTGTAGCACTTTGGGCCCTCCCTCGGTGTCTCAGGCGTTCTCACGGCTGCCGCGATCTGTTCCGTGTCCTTCAAGATGTTTCGGGGCCCTGGCTAGCAATTTGTCAATTCCCAGTGTGTCCAATCTTGAAGACGCTCGCAGGAGCCGACTGGTGTCGTCGGGAAGCCCTGCCAGGAAGGCGCACCCCAGTATGCGGTCCGTTGCTCCGCCAAACGGTACTGCCAGCCTTCGCAAATCAGCCAGGTAAACATCCACGGTCTCACCCGGCTCGAGCCGTCGCCCGACGAACTGTTTCCAAGCGATGAATGGATCTATTCCAAAGGCTGTATACAGGGCGTCCTTGATCTCTTCTAGGTCAGCATCGTCCCCGAGTTGTTGATATACTGCGTAGGCTCCTCCCGTGAGTCTCAGTGGGATGACTAGTGCAGGTTCCTTTATTTTGGACACCCTGCAAACACGTTCGGCCTTTTCAAACCATTCGACGATAGTCGGGCCCGTGGGGGAGCCGTCGAATTCTGGGATCAACTTTAGATCGAACTTGTCCATTGCCGAAATAGCTTGTGGTGTGTAACGCAACAATTCAACTGATGATAACAGGTAGGCACAAAGAAACACGGTGTCGCACGTCCAACCTTCTCACGAGCCGAAGGCTTTCTGATTTGAAACAGCAGAAACGAGCCTGCTTTATACAGCTGCGGACCGACCACGATTTGCATGCGAATCACGAGGCAACGAGATTTCGCGTTAACTGACCGATACCGCTCGGCATAAAACGCGGGCGCCGCCATTTTGGTTTTCTTTTTTACCATTGGAAGGACCAGAGTTTACATACTGCGCAGATTCGAACGCGTTTCCGAGGTAGGCCATTTTCACAATTTTCCCCACAGAGGGCTTGGAAAATCTGATACTCACAAGACAGATTGAAGGCAAGAGAGGCGGAGGAAAACAACGCATAACCTACGTAATGAGGAAAGAAGGCTTGGAATATCTGATACTCACAGGACAGATTAAAGGCAAGAGAGAGGGAGGAAAACAACGGATAAACTACGTAATGAGGAGAGAGGGCTTGGAAAATCTGATACTCACAGGACAGATTGAAGGCTGGAGAGACGGAGGAAGACAACGGATAACCTACATAACGAGGAAAGAGGCTTGGAAAATCTGATACTCACAGGACAGATTAATAGCAAGAGAGACAGAGGAAAACAACGCATAACCTACGTAATGAGGAAAGAGGGCTTGGAAAATCTGATACTCACAGGACAGATTAAGGCAAGAGAGAGGGAGGAAAACAACGGATAAACTACGTAATGAGGAAAGAGGGCTTGGAAAATCTGATACTCACAGGACAGATTGAAGGCTGGAGAGACGGAGGAAGACAACGGATAACCTACATAATGAGGAAAGATGCTTGGAAAATCTGATACTCACAGGACAGATTAATAGCAAGAGAGACAGAGGAAAACAACGCATAACCTACGTAATGAGGAAAGAGGGCTTGGAAAATCTGATACTCACAGGACAGATTAATAGCAAGAGAGACGGAGGAAAACAATGGATAACCTACGTAATGACGAAAGAGGGCTTGGAAAATCTGATACTCACAGGACAGATTGAAGGCAAGAGAGACAGAGGAAAACATCGCATAACCTACGGAATGAGGAAAGATGGCTTGGAAAATTTGATACTCACAGGACAAATTGAAGGCATGAGAGACAGAGGAAAACAACGCATATCATACGTAATGGGGAAAGATGGCTTGGAAAATCTGATACTCACAGGACTGATTGAAGGCAAAAGAGACAGAGGAAAACATCGCATAACCTACGTAATGAGGAAAGATGGCTTGGAAAATCTGATACTCACAGGACAGATTAATAGCAAGAGAGACGGATGAAAACAACGCATAACCTACCTGGTGAGCTTGAGTAAATGAATGGTGGAATAAATTTTAGAAGAAATAACCAAAAAAATTATTAAGAGTTCCAAAGAAGAGGAAGCTGTAGAGTGCCATGTTTTTACTGAAAGGACATGGCATATTTTTCACTCCTCTTATTATTAGTTAATGCCATAATCCCAAAGTTAAAAGATTCTAACGGATTTACCAAAGTTTCTTGTCGGGCTTGGATGATACTGTCAGAAAATTTGTGAATTTCTTTGCACATTCTATAAAATTTCCGTCCATCTGAAGACAGTCTGTAAATCCAGTCACTGTAATGGAAAACATTTCTGAAAGAAGAAAAAATATTCATAAAGAAACGCTAAAACCGATCAGTTTAATGTCTAGAACATTCAGAAGGTTTGTTCACTCGATTACATATACACTGGATCCTAGCAGTAAAAGAAAAATCACTCAAAAAGAGTTTTGTATTTTGCTTTTATCTGTATTTTAAAATAATGTTAAGTTTACTAAATATATATTGAGTGACCCTGGTCATATCTGATCACCAAAAACAAATAATTACCCAGATATTTATAATAAAAAATAACCATCTTGGTAGAAGTCAGAAGAATGTATAGAAATATGTTACATGCCTTCTCTCTGACCCTGAAAGGGATAGCTAGTCAGTGTTACAAAAGATGTCTTTATTTACTAGTCTGGCATGTTATTTTGCATGTGGCAGTGCCTAAATATCCTGAGGCATATCTTATCTTAGCAACTTGTACCAGAGGACTCTGTGTCTTTGCCTATAACAGGTTTCACCGATTGGGCAAAATATGAGTCATATGAAAAGCGAAGCCTAGTGCATATTAACTGGGAAGATAACGGAAACTTAACCTGACATCAGCATATATTATGTATTTTCTTTCTAACAGCTACCTGTGGGATTACCCCCATTTGTCTGACAATGAACTTCTGCTAACTACCACTAGATGATATTGCCAAAGCAGTGCATAAAGAAAAGAGCATGAACTCTTATTCTCCTTTTTCACTTTTCCCCACAGGGTGCCCTCAAGATAGGGCATGTCTCATTACCCTTTTGGGATTCTTTTTGGCCACCAGAAAAATCTAATGTTTCATTGAACCTAACATAGAGAATACACAGTATAAAATAATTGAACCAAATTAACAAAGAACTCTTCTTAAAATGTAAGTCTTTGATAATACTTACCTTTCACACACATATGAAGAAATATGAAAATCTACACAGACACATCTTTATTCACCACTTTTGGATACTTTTTATTTAGTTTGCCAAGGCAATAAAAATGTTGTAGATTAGAATGGTTTATCAAAGAAGAATAACAGAAATTAGGCACTGACTAACAACAAATTATACAACATCAAACTTACAATAAAAGAATGACATCAAAAACTAAAAACAAAGAAAGATGAAGTAATAATGTCCAGATTTCATATCGGACACGTCATGATAACACATTCTTATATTCTAAAATAAGAACCACCTCTAATCTGTACAGCATACCAAGAACTATACAAAATAAACACATACTAACAAATTGTAGCGACTTCAGCCAAATTTGTTTAAAATACTATGAAACACCCAACATGGAAGAACATGACATTAATCAATATAATATTGTACAATTTCTTAAAGAAATGAAATTGTATTCCAAAATATAACTTCAACAAAACTACAACATAAAACACACATATCACCGCCTCTAGTAATTATGCCTACACAAACATGTCTATGCATAAAAGCTAAGCATTATCTACCATGTATTCAATTGTGAAAGCAGAATAACATATATCATATTTTTATTACTTTATTTTATTAAATTTTACCATTAAATAAGCCATAAAGGAGTTGATGTGTTGTTAAGCAAACAAGCAAAAAACAAAATAAAAATGTTGCTTGGTTTGGTTTGTTTTGTTTTACGGTATATCAACCTCAATGGATTATCTAATGCCAACCTGTTTTTCATAGTCTTTTGACCCCTTTTGTGGGGTTAACTATTTGCCTATAGCTGGGACCCTAACAGGTGCTACCACCCGGGTCAGGGTGGACCTGGGAACACCAGCAATTAAGAGGTTGTTCCACGCCCCTCAAAACCTCCCAATCAGAGGCCTTGCTGTTGGACGTAGTTTATCGTCTTACGCAGGACGCCTCATTTAGGTGGGGTGTCTTACCTTTCTACAGAAGTGCAATTGGAGTTATTCTGAAGCCCCAGGCGTCAGGACAGGGAGGAGCAGGAGTGAAGCCTCTTATTTGGAGGGTGTTGTACACAGTAAATAGAAGAAGTCTAGCTCATTGGCCCAAATTAATTCCCTAATGTTGAAGTCATGCTGGTGTATATAAAGTACAAATTCCGTATGATCGACAATTTTTGTTTTGCACCCATCATGGCATATGCAAGAAAGCATAGACTATGTAAGGGAATTCTTCTATAACAGAATGGTGCCAGATTCAAAGTTATATCAATGGAGAGTTAAAAGAACTCTTGTAAGTCCAAAAAGCAAAAACTCTTTTTTTTTTATTACTTTTTATATGCTTATTTTATTAAAAACTTATAAAATACATAAGTTTCTTGTTTTCTTTCTCACTAACACCTGGACCAAACAGACTAATTTCATTTTTTGGAGACTGTATTATTTGCTATAAATGTTTTCAAGTGAACAGACATTTTTCAAAGCATAAAACAGGATTTCATTCTAAAAAATAAAAATAAAAACTCACACAACTCTTTTTGCTAACAAGTCCCCAATTGTTGTTACAGCCGTCACGTAAGGATGGTGTTCCCTTCAAAGAAGCAAATTTAGAAAAGTTTCATGAAAAATGACCTGAAGAAATAAAATATTTAGGTTTTTCTTTAAATATAAGTGGACATTGACATCAACACTCAGACGCAACAGACTTCAAGGCTCACTTTTATATTCGCATACGCTCTATCTCTGATATTGAGCACTTTATATCATAAATATAGAAAACCTTAAAACATATATATATATATATATATATATATATATATATATATATATATATAAATAAAAAGAAAGAACAGTAAGATATAAAATCCGGTGTTCTTATAGATATTTTATTTTACAAAATAGTGCTCAATGTAAATTTACAGAGCATTAATATTATGATTAATTGATTTAAAATATGGTTTTTTTTGCTACACAGTTTCAACCATGTTTCAAAAATAGAAGCTAAAAACCCCGAATTTAATTTTGAAATTAAATTAAAAGCATTAGTTCCATTTCATCTTCAAGCATGAAATGGAACTAATGCATTTAATTTAATTGCAAAATTAAATTCGGGGTTTTTAGCTTCTATTTTTGAAACATGGTTGAACTGTGGAGCGAAAAAAACCATATTTTAAATCAATTAATTTATAATATTATATATATATATATATATATATATATATATACACAGACAGACAGAAATACTTGCAGACAGAGGTGTTGGGTCTCCCACATAAACACACTTACACAAATATATACACATACACACATCCCCCCCACAAGGAAACTAAAAGATAACATACACCACACACATCCTCTTCCCAGCAATCAATAAAATTATCAAAATAACTAAGGAAGTAAATCTGAGACTCGTGAATCTCCCAGCCTCTCCTTAAAAGAACGTGAACGAGGCCTTTTGACCAATATATGCACAGATGAAAAATGAAAGATAAAAAAAAAACAAATGAAAACTACAGATAAAGTTCACTTTCTTCAGAGGCAGTCATTGACCCCCTGTAGTTTATTCCTACTAACAAGCAGGAAGTTTTTCTCTTGATGATAGCCATACTAGCCGAAACTAGTCGAGGAACCTAATTTAAATAATAAAACAAACATTAATAAGCAACCCAGTGTGTCTGAAATTTGAATTTTTTACTGTTCAAGACACACACACACACACAAATATATATATTTGTATATTTAGGCAGAAATCCTTCTTTCATGCACATTTCATTGAATATGATAGACTTTGCTTTGATTTAGTTGTTTATACAATTTCTAATGCGATCTAATCATTTTTTCAGATGATAAATTATATAAAAACTGCCCGAATGTTCCACCAGACCCTATTCGTAACATACTTGTTGACAACACTAATATAATAGTATCATCTACATGCAAAAAAAAAAAAGCTAAAAAATAATGGAAGCCTTATTAAGAAAAACAAAAAATAACCAACACTTAATAATATCAAGTATGAACATGGACACAATATCTTGTCCGTGCTTTGAAAATGAAAACATTATTTAAATACATACATACAACAATCTATTTCTTGTTAACAATTAATATATTTCAACCTTGAAAATGGCTAAAAGTGCTCGGATAAAAAGAACAATTTGACAGTTTTTATATAATTTATCATCCGAAAAGAAAAATAATTGATCAGATGAGAAATTGTATAAAAAAACTAAATCAAAGCACCTTGTCTGTGATATTGAATAAAATGTGTCTATATATATATATATATATATATATATATATATATATATATATATATATTTTATATATAAAATATATATAAAAGTGAACATTGAAGTCAACACTTAGAGACGACAGGCTGTTTCATGCTAGATGCAACCATCAGGCCACACATCTACACACGCTCTATCTCTGATATTGAGCACTTTATCCCATAAATATTGCACACCTTCAGAGTATATTTCTTCATATATATATATATATATATATATATATATATATATATATAGCACTTTATCCCATAAATATTGCATACCTTCAGAGTATATTTCTTCATATATATATATAACTTCAGAGTATATTTTCTTCATATATATATATTTATTGTAAACAATGACGTATACTACTAATATTACAAGCTCCTTCCGAATTGATCATTGTCAGTCAGTGGTGTGTTTATTCACAGAATAAGTACGTAAACATTTGCCTTGCTTTCACTTGTATGACAATAGCTTAGGCGGAAAATCTTCAACTGTTGCCGAATCAGTCGGATTTCAAAAGTAGGAAAGTTGGTTCACTGTGTCGTGTTACACAATTTTTCTTGCCAGAATTTTTCTTGCCAGAATTTATCTTAAATATTTATAAATTTACCATTAGTCCTTGATTTGAATATTGCTGTCACATCTGGTCCGGTGCTCCTGCTATATATTTAGAGATTCTTGATAAAATCTAAAGAAGAATCTGCAATGTTATTGGTCCTGACCTGACATCTCGGCATCAGTCAGTTTCCCACCACCTTAATGTGGCTTCCCTGTGAATGTTCTATAAATATTTCTCATGCTAATTATTCTGATAAACTTTCACTTTGCTACCTAGACTTCATGAATTTAAACACGGAACGACATTGGTAGCAAGTTATCATCATTTGAATGTTGAAATGGCTAAATGTAACTGTAAATTCTATGCTGACAGTTTCTTATTTGGCACATCTCACTTGTGGAATTCTTGCTTTCCAGTCAACTTTGATCTTCAAAAATTTAAATGTAATGTCAATCGTTATCTACAGTCTTCCTGATTACTCTTTTATTGTTCTTGCTATCCTATCATATTGTTTTATATCTAAAGCTAAAGAATAGAGTCTGCCTTACTATTTAAGCTTTTTTCAAGGGTATTTGCACGAAAGTGAATATAACAAATTTGGTTGTACTTTGAACTTGACTTGCTGATTTATTGTTTTGAGCCACTGTCCATTACACCACCTGCACATCCTATGATAACATTATTGGCTTGTTTTTTAAATCCTTCTCTTCTTTCTCCATGTTTTTTTATTAACCTTTAGCACTCTGCAGACAGTTTTATTCAAAATATATATGTTTGTCCACTGTAGATGAGACTGACACCTACCTAGTCTCCGGACTACGTGAATTTAAGCGGGGAGGAACCCGAACGAGGCTACGCCGAAGGGAGGAGTACCTTTCGGGGAGGTAAACCGACCCTGAACCCATTTATACGGGTTCAAAGGGCATACTTTTGGTCGAGCCCACGGGCTCGGAGATCCCTCGTTAAACCGGCCTTGTGCCATATGATGCGCTCGTGGTGACTAAATACCGTTCAGTCTGAAGTCTGGAGTGAGGTCCGTCAGGAGTCTGTCGGTCAGTCAGAGCGAGCGAGTCAGTCAGTCAGTCGAGTCAGTGGCAGTCCGAAACAGAGTCGCGTTCAGACAATTACTACTAAACCTGATTGTTCGTAGTAACACTTTCTACCTCTCCGTATATATTCCTGTTTGTAATATATCTGTGTTATTCCATACCTGTGTTCGAGTTCTTCTTTATTCGTTCTACCTTGGAATATCACTATTTCTTGATATCAAATTTCACTGACAACAAAGGAAAGTTTTTTTGCGAGCACAGTCTACAGAATATCAGGTTACACAAAAAAATACGTTAACATGGAAGATTTTAAGTCAACCATTATGGAACTTATCAAAATCCAGTTTGAACAACAACAAAGGTACGAACAAAAACATCTAGAAATGCAAGAATTATTAATACGTGCAATGGCAAATAAGGAGCAAAAACCCGAGAACGAATCAGTTCTCTCTCAAGACGCTATTTGGAGTAATATCGAAGATTTCAAGTACGGTGCGTACTTGAAATCTTCGACGAAGATAAAACTTTTGCAAATTACTTCCGAAGGTATGAAGATCTATATGATTTTGACTGCAAAGAATGGTCAGACGCACGTAAAGTACGCCTTTTATTAAGAAAATTAGTCACAGGCGAATATACCAAATTCGTTGATTATATCCTTCCCAGAAAAACAAGCGAGTTAACGTTCAAAGAATCTATGAAATTGCTAACGGAACTTTTCAGTCATAATACTTCATTATTTCATAAAAGATGGAAATGCATGAACCTTACAAAAAAGGATAGCGAAGATTACGTAACTTTCGCATCCATTGTTAATAAATATTGTGACGACTTCAAATTATCGGAACTCAGCGCTGACAACTTCAAATGCTTAATTTACGTCCAAGGTCTGGTTTCAACCAAAGACGCAGAAATGAGACGTAGAATACTTACTAAATTGGAAAATGAACAAGATCTGACACTTCAAAAACTAGCCGAAGACTGCCAGAGATGCGTTAGCGTAAAAAAAAGACTCTAAAGACATAGAACCAGCTAGCTTAGCTTACATATGCAAAGTAAGAAGACAAACAAATTTTCCCTCCTCACAAACAAAGCAAACACATTTTCCCTCCTCACGAACAAACCGAACTGATTTTCCCGCCTCAAGAACAGGTAAAACAAAATTTTCTAATTATAATCAACATAAAAAGAAACTACCACCAAGTCCATACTATCGTTGTGGGTCTTGGCATTGGGTTAAAGACTGTACATATCGTGCTAAAACTTGTCTATCATGTAAAAAATATTTTCGGCAGGTCTCGGAAGATGCAAGAAAATGGCAGCTAATATCAAAATGAAGGATAACGTTCAACCTATTTTCAAGAAAAAAAAGGAGTGTACCGTTTGTGTCAACAGAACAGAAAAGATTGACCAAGAATTATCTAGACTCGAAAATGCGGGCATATTGAAAAAAGTAGAGTACAGCAAATGGACCGCACTGACGGTCTACGTTAAAAAGAAATCAGGAGAAATTCGAGTTTGTGCTGATTTTTCTACAGGTTTGAACGCAGCAATAAAGGACTACCACTATCCGCTACCTAGTCCTGAAGAAGTATTCACTAAATTAAATGGCGGAAAATATTTTTCAAAAATTGATTTAAGTGAGGCGTACCTGCAAATTCCAGTCGATGAAGAAAGTTCAAAACTACTATGCATAAACACACACAAGGGATTGTACAGATACCAAAGACTATTATTTGGAATTAAAGTAGCGCCGGCTATTTTCCAGCAGACAATGGATACGATGCTGGCAGGACTAGAATACACAATAGCATATCTGGATGACATATTGATTAATAGCGAAAGCGTTGAACAACACTGGCATCATGTACAAGAAGTGTTTAAGAGAATTCAAAGCTACGGATTCAAAGTGAAAGAAAATAAGTGTGATTTTTTCATGAAGGAAATTAAATATCTTGGCCATATAATAGACCAAGAAGGTAGACGTCAAAACCCTGAAAGGTCTACAGCAATAAAAAAGATGCCAGTTCCTAAGAATATAATGGAACTACAAAGTTTTCTTGGATTAGTGAATTACTTCCAGGAATTCATACCTCAAATGCATAAACTTCGCGCACCATTGAACGAACTGCTAAAGAAAGAAAAAGTTTGGCTGTAGTCAGAGCAATGCCAGGAAACATTTGAAAAAAATAATCAAGACATTAACATCGGATTTATTTTTGGCACACTCTGATCCTAAACTAGAGATTATTGTAGCAAGTGATGCGAGCGCCTACGGTGTCGGAGCGTGTATATTACATAAAATGCCAGCTATAAAACCTATCACACATGCTTCTCGAAGAAAAACTATTCACAAATTGAGAAGGAAGCTCTAGCAATTATCTTCGTAGTAACAAGATTCCATAGATACGTCTATGGTAGACACTTTACTCTGCAGACGGATCACAAACCGTTAATTAAAATTTTTGGTTCAAAAAAAGGTCTACCGGTGTACACGGCAAATAGACTACTTAGATGGAGAACGATTCTTCTGAACTATAATTTCAGATTGGAATATTTACCAACGAAAAGAATCGGGCACGCGGATGGTCTGTCGAGACTTATACCAACAAAGACAGAGCCACTGGAAGATACGGTAATCGCAGCCCTTAGAAATGAAGAAGACATAAGAACAGTACTATGTTGTACAGTCAGAAACCTCCAGTCACATTGCAAGACATAAAAAATGAAGCCAAAAATGACGAATTTATTAATGAAACAAAAGCAAAAATAGCAGAAAAAATGAGAAAATTTCGGACAGCTTTTCTCTATGCGATAATGTGCTACTTTACAACGAAAGGGTTGTAATCCCAAAACTTTACAAAACGGATACTAAAGGATTTCCACAGAGGACACCCGGGTAAAAATAGAATGAAGTTGCTAATACGAAGCTATGTATATTGGAAGAATATGGACCAGGATATTTCTCAAATGGTGGAAATGTGCTGTAATTTAGCAGCTAAAGCACCGAGAAATCATACATAAGCCTTGGCCTGAAACTGATCGTCCATGGTCAAGAATACACGCAGATTATGCAGGACCAATTGATGGGTTCTACTATTTAATCATAATTGATAGCTACAGTAAATGGCCGGAGGTGTTTCGGTGCAAAAATCCTACTACAGAAACGACCATAAATTTCCTCCACGAGCTATTCGCTCGATTTGGCGTAGTGGACTGTTTAGTAACAGATAATTCACGTCAAGTAAAACATATAAAATCCCCGCCTTACCATCCAAGACCAAATGGACAAGCGGAGAGATTCGTGGATACTCTCAAAAGAGCATTACGAAAAGCGTACGATGTGCCTACGGAGAAAGCATTACAGCAATTCCTACAGGTATATAGAATAACGCCAAATAATGCGACACCATCAACATTATCACCAGCAGATATCATGTTTGCTAGGAAAATCAGATCAGCGTTCGATAAATTACTACCAAGTAAAACAAAACAAGTAACACAGTCCTACACACCAAAAAGAAAATTCCTCCCAGTGGAAAAAGTTTTTTTTAAGGCATACAAAAATAATACCTCTTGCTAGGAACAAGGGATAATTGAAAAAAGAATTGGCAATATGATGTACATAGTTCAAGAAAAAAAATTCTCACACAGAAGACACGTAAACCAAATAAGGAAGAGACCGTTACAGGATGCTAACGGTCCACTTCAAGAAGAGGTATTGGACACTATTTTCGACACATTCGATATAACAAGACCGCAAATAATGCCAGAACCAAGAAAATCGTCTAGAAAAAGAAAATTTACTGAACATTTGGAAATATATCCAAAGAAAAAAAAGATATTAAAAAGTCTGGAGTGAGGTCCGTCAGGAGTCTGTCAGTCAGTCAGTCGAGTCAGAGGCAGTCCGAAACAGAGTCGCGTTCAGACAATTACTACTAAACCTGATTGTTTGTACTAACACTTTCTACTTCTCTGTATATATCCCTGTTTGTAATATATCTGTGTTATTCCATATCCGTGTTTGAGTTCTTCTTTATTGGTTCTACCTTGGTACAAGGAACCGGACCATAACACTTTTCTTGCACTTCCCACCTGTGGAACTCCCTTCCATTTCCTTACTTCTCTGATAAGTCCAATTTTCAAAAATTTAAATGTAATGACATTTGTCCTCTTTTTGTCTTCTTGAACCCTGTTTATTTTGTTATCTTTTCCACAATCCTCCTTATTCTCAGTCTTCTCTTTCAATTTCTGTAACTTGTGTGTACTAGTGGCTTTAACAACTCATGTGGAGTGAAATGATAAAAAACTATAGTGTTTGAATTGCATACTTGTGTTGTCATGTCCTGCTATCGCAACAGTAAAAATAATCTTGATTGAAACCAAGAATTAGGTCATTGAAATCAAGAGCCTGTCAGAATGGAATCGGGAAATAATACTGTTAAATAATGCAGAGTGCTGAAAGTTAATCGTTTTTTTTCTGAAGTTTGAGGTCTAAATCTTAAGGTTTTATAATGTTTAGCTTTATACGTCTGGTGTATATAGAAGTGAAACAAAAACAAGTCATCTTGATGGCTTATTGACAATTGAATCTTTTCCCTTTCTTCAAATCTTCCAGTAGCTTCTTTTATCCTCTGCATGGAAATGAATGTTTTCTGTTTTCCTAAATGACAGTGATGAAGAACAAACAGAAATGTGGTTCTACAGAAGGATGTTGTGGATACTATGGACAAAAAATATGAGCAACAACAAAGTTTTACAGAAAATGGAAACAAAAAGGAAACTTATACTTCACATTAGGAAGAGGCAGTTGAAATTTCTAGAGCTCATTAAGAGGAAAGAGGGCTTGGAAAATCTGATACTCACAGGACAGAGTGAAGGCAAGAAAGACAGAGGAAAACAATGCATAAGTGAGCTTTAGGCACCTCGACATGGTGTAATTAGCAAGATTGTGTCGCTAGAACAATTACAAGTGAGTAATAAGTTCGATTCTCACAGGGTGCTCCATTCGTTCAGCCTTGTGCCACATCTAAGCTACGCTTATAAAATCCTTGGGCGCCTCGACGTGGTGTAATGGTTAGCAAGCTTGTCTTGCTAGATTACAACTGAGTAGTGAGCTTGATACTCACTGGGTGCTCCATATTTTCAACCTTGTGCCACGTCTAAGCTGCCCTTAGAAAATGACCATACTTAGTGAGCTTAAGTAAATGAATGGTGGAACAAGGTTTAGGATAGATAACAAAAAGATAAAATTTATTAAGAGCTATAAAGGATAGGAAATTGTGGAGAGCCATGATCACCTACACCCTGAAGGGACACAGCACATAGAAAAAGAAGAATGCGCTTGAGTAAATGAATGGTGGAACAAGGTTTAGGAGAGATAACAAAAAGATAAAATTTATTAAGAGCTACAAAAATTGGAAATTGTGGGGAGCCACAATCATCTACTGAAGGGACTGAGCACATAGAAAAAGAAGAATGAGTTTGAGTAAATGAATGGTGGAACAAGGTTTAGGAGAGATAACAAAAAGATAAAATTTATTAATTATTACAAAGGACAGGAAATTGTGGAGAGTCATGATCGTCTACGCCCCGAGGGAACATGGTAAATAAAGAAGAATGTCAAGTGAAACGTATTTTTGTGACCACTTACTCTTCGGCTTGTATATCTTCCGTGTAAGAAAGGGCACATCGAAGCATAATGTCGAGCGTTGCAAATGAAAATGGCCGGATCACATCGATGACTGGGCATTTTTCTGTCGCCACGGATAATTTGTTCTGCAAAACAAATTAAAAAAATTAAAACAAAAAAACAAAAAAAAAACAAACAAACCCAGACAAGACGAAAATAGAAATTTTTGTTGAAAATCAAATAAATTACCGTATATACTCATGTAACGTGCAATCTCACATATCGTGTGTAGCGGTTATAAACACTTTTGATGAGAAGTTATATTTTCCTGGTACATTTGACCCGCTAACAATTTTGATGGATTTTTAGCGTTCCGCATCACTTTTTAAATTTCTTCTCAACAAATCATTGGTTAAAAAAATAATGCAATTATATGTCTTCTTAAGAGAGTGATCATTTTTGTGCAAAGAGTGGATCACACAGACCTTGCTATTTTTCTGATTGCTGATTGGCTAAATAATAATAAATATGAATGACACCTATGCAATCAGGTTTTGCCGCCAATATTTTTGAACGGCAGTCTGGAGCCGGTGATATGACAGAGAACCGAATAAATAGGAAACGCGAACGTATCCCATCAGTGTGACCAATCAAAAGTCAACCAGACACATCGCCGTTACGCTAAAAAAATTAACTTGGATATTCCAGTTTTTTCCAATTCTTCACCAGCAAGAAAAATACTTTACTGAAAATATCTTCAGCATTTCAGGACATAATTCAAAGAAATTTTCTCACTCAGTTCTATTCAACGGAATTTTATTCTTTGGTGAACATTTTCTTTTAGTGTCAAGATTTATTGTAGTTATTTTCAGAAGTACACAAACTAATTTAGCATTTCACTACAACTTTTTTTTTTTTTATCAATGTCGATTTCTGTGCAAAAAGCGGATCACAGAGCTTTTTCTTAATCACGTGACAGGCTCGAAAGGCATTGGCAGATTTTGGGCGGAATTATTTTTTTAGTCAGGTCAAGAACTAGGTCGATGTTATTCGGACGTAGTTGAGAACATGATTTAAATATTAAGTGACTAATAAGAAGTTGAGGCTTTCTGGAAATATGTATGAAGCTGAAGAAGCTCTGTGATCCGCTTTTTGCACAGATTTGCACAAAAACTGAAATTGATAAAAAAAAAGTGGTAGCGGAATGCTAAAGGGTAACATTGATGGGATAAATTTATGAATATCAAACAGAAGATTTTAGGGTTTCATCTTTTTATGTCACCTTAATTATCAGGTTTACTAAAGTGCATTTACTGATAAAGTTTATCAGTTAATTTGAATTTAGGTGATAAATTGGGAAAATTCGGTATTCTATTTTAAAATGTTGGACTCAAAAACACTTTTTTTATATAAAAATAGTTTATTTCAACTGGCTGGCATAATTTGATCGGCCTACCTGAAAATTGACGAGTTTCTACGATCTTTATTAACTAAATTTTGCGATCAGTCAAGATCGTAATTTGATATTTTTTTCCAAAAATGAGCAATTTCAGTACAGCAAAAATGGTAGCTAACCATGACAAACTAAAGTCATTTTCGGAATCAGTACCATTAGATCAGCTAAAAAAATGTGTTTCTTGGCATCAAAAATCGTGTTGAGCAGTGTAATAAAATACTAACGAATAATGTCTTTAACGTGACGCACTTTACGATTCTTCTGATTGTTAATGGAAGATTCCATGTTCAACAATTTAGGGTAGTGAAGGTCGATCATCTTTCTACACAACGCACACATATCCATAAAAAATACACAAAAATATGTCTGTTGGCTGGGTAAAAACGTAACTCTGGCAAGGTTGTAAACAGGTGCTTAACCAAAAATCACCATTAAGTAATAATGGTTCTGCGTATCCTAACTCTCCAAGTTAAAACGCCATTATTGGTCACAGTTTCATGTCATGCCCAAGACTAATAAATAAAGGTAATTTCTAAGCGTGGCACAAGGTCAAAGGTTTGGGGCAACGACTGAGGATGGAATTCACTATTCAGTGGTAAATGATCTTGCGAGACAAGCTTGTTAGCCATTACATCGTGTCGAAGTGTCTAGTGGCTTTCTAAGCATAGCTTGGATGTAGCACAAGGCTGAAAGCACGGGACACACAGTGAGGATCAATCTCACTCTTCAGTCATAATTGATCTAGCGAGACAAGCTTGTTAACCATTATACCACGCTGAAGTGCCCCAATATTAAAATAATAAATTTTAAAAAATTGTGTTTTGCTTTTTCGGTTAAATAATAAATATATTTAAGATTAATCCCATTGCAATATATGAGAAGGTGCTGATAAGGTCTCGGACTAATCAAGAAACTCTTTAAAAAAATCTGTTGTCTGGTCAGTTTTGTTATTATTATTATTATTTTTTATAAATGGGAATAGACCGGACCGAGAAGTTTTCAGCAGTGAATTCTCACGCCTAAAACAATCCTGATCTTTCAAACTGTTACCTGTGCACAGTTTAAACTTACCCACCTGAAATTCTTTATGTAATTACCTGACTAACAAGAGAAAAATTAAGGAAGTGTTTTTAAAGTTTACCAAAGGAAGTAATTTAAAAATGTTCACTTGGCTTGTAACAGCCGAGACATGTCTCTGTTTGGACAGACGCGCATGTATGAACATTCATCGGCTCACCACACGTCTTTTCATTAAATAAAATAAAAAAAAAAACTTTATAAGACCGTGATGCAAAAATTTACAATCGTAAAACTCTTGAAACAAAGTTAATAATTGATAACCAATGAGAGAGAGAGAGAGAGAGAGAGAGAGAGAGAGAGAGAGAGAGAGAAAGAGAGAGAGAAAGAGAGCAGCTGTAAAGGTAAACCGCTTTTTTTATATCAAAAATTTAAAAATGGACATTTTAAAAGTATATATAAATATTGTTGTGGTGTCCTCCCTCTAATGAGGCTATTGTGGACTTTTCCACTTACTATAAAGTAGTAGGAAAGTAAGCCTCAGGAGAAATAGTGATATAGACTATGCCCCATGCTTTCGGCCTTGTGCCACATCTAAGCTACACTTGGAAAATCTTTAGGGCACCTCGACATGGTGTAATGGTTAGCAAGCTTGTCTCGCTAGAACAATTACAACTGAGTAGTGAGTTCGATCCTCACTGGGTGCATCTTACTTTCGGCCTTGTGCCACATCCAAAATACGCTTGGAAAATCACTTGTCTTGCTGGATCAGTTACGACTGAAAAGTGAGTTCGATCCTCACTGGAGGCCCCATGCTTTCGGCCTTGTGCCACATCTAAGCTACGCTTGGAAAATCTTTAGGGCACCTCGAGATGGTGTAATGGTTAGCAAGCTTGTCTCGCTAGAACAATTACGACTGAGTCGTGAGTTCGATCCTCACTGGGTGCTCCTACTTTCGGCCTTATGCCACATCTTAGCTACGCTTAGAAAATCATTAGGGCACCTAGAGGTGGTGTAATGGTTAGCAAGTTTGTCTTGCTAGAACAATTACGGCTGAGTAGTGAGTTCGATTCTCATTGGGTGCTCCGTAATTTCGGCCTTGTGCCATATCTAAGCTATGCTTGTAAAATCAATCGTGATATAGACTGTTCTACCGAGGCTGTGACTGTTCGCAGCTCCTGTCGAAGTCTTTGCCTTGGGCAGAGAGGAACCCAGACGAAGCTGTGCGAAACAGCAGAGTCTCGTCCGGGGAGGTAGACAGACCCGAACCCGTGTATACGGGTTCTACGGGGATTTTTTGACAGAGCCTACGGGCTCGGATGAACCACGTTAAAGTCGACCTTGTGCCACATGTACCCTCGTTGGGGGGGGGGTTTAATAAATATCAACATTGATATAGACTGAACGCTGGTCAACCGACACCCCCCCCTCAAGAAGTGTAACGCTTTTTTGTTGTATTTACTGTTCAATAAAACTACTTATCTGCAACCTCTTGTTTTGTTATTCCTTAACCAATTACTCGGTCACAACAAATATATACAAAAACAAACTCAAGGTATTGTTAGAGAGTCCCAAAACAACCTTACCAAAACTAATCCTGCACCCCACCACACATAAATAAAAGAAATCAAGAAAAATATCAGGAAACAAAAGCACAAAAGAAAAAAAAAAGGAAATCAACTGAAACCTAACAACGCAAAACCTAAAGTGCTCCAAAACTCTAAAGTTAGACTGAGACAGAGCAGTAACATTAACAAACTAAATAGACTCAGATCCCAATCGCCATGCTAAGCGATCGTCAGACGACAAAAAAAAAACCCTTAGATAAAATGGTGTTGGCAGATTTTATTAACGCTTTAAGGAGTGAGAACAAAAAGAGTAACCAGGAAATCAGTAGATAGCGATTGATATTGCATTCAAATTTTTGAAGATCAAAGCTAGCTGGAAAGCATGAAACCAGAAAGCATGAAGCCAGAAGGGAGTTCCACAAGCTGCCCGAGGCTGCACCCTCTCAATGTACGAGAGTGAGGGATCGGTGGTCGCCACGGAGGCCAGCGTAAGCGACGTTTACTGGGGCTTGGGTAATTTTAGCCTGAGTGTACGCACTCAGGTCCCCACGTTAAGCCTGTCCTTGTGTCGCATCCCGTCTCAGTGGGGAAGCATGGGTAAATATCCAAGCGTTTCGCGGTCAAGATGACTAGGATCAAAGTGTAGTATCTGTTGCAGCCATCGACAGCCAGCCCACGGCTCCAGCCATCCGCAGCAGTTACAGCTAGCCAACCATCATCTTCAGCTTGGCATCGGCCGTCCCTCCAGTCATCTCCAGTAGGACTCCCACTCCAGCCATCCTATCCAGCAGCAACTTTTCAGGACAACTCTCTCCAGCGACTATCAATCAAGACTGTCCTTTTCAGGACAACTCTCTCCAGCGACTATCAATCAAGACTGTCCTTTTCAGGACAACTCTCCAGCGACTATCAATCAAGACTGTCCTTTTCAGGACAACTCTCTCCAGCGACTATCAATCAAGACTGTCCTTTCAGGACAACTCTCTCCAGCGACTATCAATCAAGACTGTCCTTTTCAGGACAACTCTCCAGCGACTATCAATCAAGACTGTCCTTTTCAGGACAACTCTCTCCAGCGACTATCAATCAAGACTGTCCTTTTCAGGACAACTCTCTCCAGCGACTATCAATCAAGACTGTCCTTTTCAGGACAACTCTCTCCAGCGACTATCAATCAAGACTGTCCTTTTCAGGACAACTCTCTCCAGCGACTATCAATCAAGACTGTCCTTTTCAGGACAACTCTCTCCAGCGACTATCAATCAAGACTGTCCTTTTCAGGACAACATATTTCTACATGAATGAGTTATTTTTTGCCTTGTGCACTGTAACCTTATTTTTTTGTTGTATTTTCTTTAACAAAAATAAACTTGGCAATATATTTTTTACTCAAGTCTCCATTTTGTTTGTTGTTCTCTTCTGTTATTCAATATCTGTTAGCGGACCAACATACCAACCGCTTCCTTTCTCCGCATATACTACCCGCTTCCTTTCTCCAGTGACCCTCCCTCACTTCTTTTCCGCTTAGAAGTATCCATTTCATCTTACGACATCTTCAAAGATAAACCTTTATTTTTTCAAAATTATTTGTTAAAATAATAATTATGGCTACTTTATATTTAACTACAATTTTGTCTTTCGTTCTTTTTATTCAATGCCTTTGCTTGATTCTTTGAACTTAAGTTCAGCTTTCTTTTTTATTCGTTGCTTTAACTCAAATTTGACAGGCTTATATTTTTGTTGATGGAAGATAATTGATTTGGAATCGGATAAAAATAATAAATCCGCCACAGGACAATCAGATCTCAGCAATTTTAATGTCTGAAAAGTCTTAGCAAATCTTGTTCAGTTTCATTTTTGGTTTATTTTATAAGAAATTCTGTTAAAAACGATCAAGAAATATGAATTCAACACGTAAATAGTACAACATAGGAAAGAAAATTATGAAATGTGTTTATGTGACTAATGCTCTAATGTATGTACGTGTACACGTGCGTGTGTGTCTTATATGTGTATGCATGCGCGTGTATGTGCATATATATGTGTGTGTGTGTGTGTGTGTGTGTGTGTGTGCGCCTGCGCGAATATGTGCGTGTGCGCGTGTATGTCTCTGTGTGTGTATGCTCATGTGTGTATATGTGCATGTTTGTATATATACATATATGTGTGTGTGTGCGTGCGCGTGTATGTCTGTGTGTGTATGCTCATGTGTGTATATGTGCATGTTTGTATATATATACATATATGTGTGTGTGTGCGTGCGCGTGTATGTCTCTGTGTGTGTATGCTCATGTGTGTATATGTGCATGTTTGTATATACAAAAATCAAACAAACCCAAAACGTAAAACAAGCATAGGGATACCAAATAAGAGCCACATCTCAGGATTGGTCCTTAAATGTGGTGACGTCAATTCACGCAATCTTTTATTTGCTGACATGATGGTTAAAAGACAACACGTACGCATCGGATATTGACGTCTCGTATTTTTTCTCGAAATAAAAGGAAGTTACACCCTTGTGTAAATTAATTGAAACAAAACGAATAATTCTAATTATTTCCTTTTTTTTCGTATTTATCAAATGAAATATGAGCCAGTATACATGTTAGTACTTCGTATATCCATTCCACGAAGTCATTCCTTGCAGATTGACCACAGATTCTCAACTGGATTTAAACAAGAGAGTTTCTGCGCCAGTCTATAGTACTTTGATTTACTTACTGGTAAGGCTTGCCAGTTTGTTCGTGAAGCGTTACATTTTTCGTACGCTTCCTTAGAGTAACGTCCCTCACTGACAATGGCCGTAGGACAACTAATCGAAAACCGAGATAGTAGTGTCTGGGCGTGATGAAAACCTGATGCAATGACGGGTGACGCAATATTTTTCAAGGCCAAATAAATTTCATCGTACACCCCGAAAATAGATTCATATTTCAGCCCACCATTGCAAATGACCTAATTTGAGGAAAAATAGAAATCGATTACACCCTGACACTCTAGTGGGTCTAAATCTGACTTTATGGTGAAAGAAAGGAAACTAAAGCGATTGCTTCAGTTAATTTCTACAAGGGTGTATTTTAATTGTTGATTACTTACTATAAGTTTGTCTGCAGCAGAATTATATATTGGGATGTAAGATTTCAGAATGTCAAAGTGAAATGCTGGAGTCAAGAGTTTTCTGTTTCTTTCCCATTTCTTCCCAGTGCTCAGGAGAAGACCGTCACCTACAAGAGAGAAATTTAGTTTCTTAAGATTCAAAAAAATAAACTCTTCCTCTCATTCAGTACAAATATTTTTCACTAGCAATTCCTGGTGACAAGGTCGATATTTAATAAATTCAGAATGAGACCAGGGCCGTTGCCAAAATCTCATGGACCACCACCGAATCTATGATACGCGAGGCTCTCCCCCCCCTCTATTGCATCTCAATTTTCATTATGTCGTATTTATATAAAATACAAATTTTAGTGTAAACTAATTATGTACCATAATAGATCATATGCAATATAGGTGAACAGTTCAATGAGAAAAATTGAAAATGAATACAATGTATCTAATTACAAATTAGAGACATGTAATAATAGATTATTTCATTATTTACATTATTCAGACTATTGTCCTCATCTTTGTCGCCATATTTATTATAACGTTTCGGCCGTTGTACACTCCGGCCTTCTTCAGGTGGTTGGAATGTCGAACTGAACCCTTTATTTCGCTCACTGGGGTAGACTGTTCTAGTTCCACGTGCCATGTTTAATGGATGTCAGTTATCAGTTATCTCCTGTTAATTCCCCTCTTCAAGTTCTCCACTGTGTTAACTGGGTATTGAACTCACACTCTTTGGGTCTTGTCACTGGATCTAACTAACGCCTTTATCCACTGTGCCATGTGTCCTTGAGAAGAGGGCTGGGGCGTACAACGGCCGAAACGTTGTAATAAATATGGCGACAAAGATGAGGACAATAGTCCGAATAATGTAAATAGTGTACATAATACCTCATCTCAGAAATATAGACAGATACTGAAAGGCCGAAACGTTGTAATAAATATGGCAAGAAAGATGAGGACAATAGTCCGAATAATGTAAATAGTGTACATAATACCTCATCTTAGAAATATAGACAGATACTGAAAGGCCGAAACGTTGTAATAAATATGGCGACAAAGATGAGGACAATAGTCCGAATAATGTAAATAGTGTACATAATACCTCATCTCAGAAATATAGACAGATACTGAAAGGCCGAAACGTTGTAATAAATATGGCGACAAAGATGAGGACAATAGTCCGAATAATGTAAATAGTGTACATAATACCTCATCTCAGAAATATAGACAGATACTGAAAGGCCGAAGCGTTGTAATAAATATGGCGACAAAGATGAGGACAATAGTCCGAACAATGTAAATAGTGTACATAATACCTCATCTCAGAAATATAGATAGATAATAGATTATTTCATCTTAAAAAAATCAACAATGTTTTTGCGACAGTTTTTAACGTCAACTTGAGATTTTTTCTTGTTAAAATTCTGAATAATTTTTAACTCATTCAACATTATGGATAATAAATTGTGAATTTTATGTAGTATTTTTTTATTTTTAGACTTACGAGCAAAACAAATTCACGGATTTGGACGGAAAAAACAACCTCAGAATGACGTCAAAATCCGAAATATTTCAACCTTTAATATTCAGTTTTGTAACATATGAATGTAGATAGAAAAAAGCAGATGTTGTTAAGATAGCGAGGGTCGCACAGCAATGCCCGGGGCCCCAAATTAGGCTTGCCCCGTCTAGTCGGGGTGGTACACACCGGCCCAGATAGCAAAGTGATAAGAACGAAGGACCTGTATTACACTGGAATTCTAACAAAGAGGCCTAAATATTCTAAATTTTTTCAAAATTAGTTCAAAGGAGCTCCATTAAACCTGAAAATAAACAAACCTCTTCTGGATTTAAATATTTATATCATTTTTAGTTTTATTGAGGGCTCAAGACTAGTGGCCCCTTGGAGGTCTCTGTAGTCTTTGGGACTCTGGGACTGCTGCTCAAATATATCCATATGTGAATCTGGTAATGGGTGTAGTAGAACAACCTACCCAAACTGCATTAATTCTTGATGGATCAGCAAAGAGGCGGGAAATCTGGCGTTGTTATAGGCAATTACGAGTGCTTTTCATCGTTTGCTGACTTTATTTGGCTCAATTGGGAAGAATTGATGTGTCCTTTCAGGAAATAGGCGATCATGGTTCTCCACAACTTCCTGTATCTTATAGCTCGTAATAAAGTTTGTCTTTTTTGTTATCTCTCCTAAACCTTGTTTCGACAGCCATTTACTCAAGCTCACTAAGTAGGTTATGCGTTGTTTAACTCTCTCGCCTTTAATCTGCCCTGTGAGTATCAGATTTTCCAAGCCCTCTTTCTTCATTATTAGCCCCAGAAACCTCAACTGTCTCTTCGTGATGTTAAGTATAAGTTTCCTTTTTGTTTCCATTTTCTCTAAAATTTCGTTATTGGTCTGATGTTCGATCCATGACATCCTCAACATCTTTCTGTAGAACAACATTTCTGTTGTTTCAAGTCCGTTCTTCATCTTTGAGAAGATTGTATACCATTCACTGCCGTATAGAACAAATATCAGATAACAGTTCAGTACTCTTTTCTTTGTTGCTAATAAAGTTTTTCTGTTTCATAATACTCTGCTTAGCTTTTGGAAGACATCTTTGGCCATTCCAATACATCTTCGGATTTCAGTGTCTCACTTTTGTTAGCAACCAGGCATTCTGCCTTCTTGTAGTTTATGTTTAGTCTTTTCTTCTTGCTTTCCTTCGCTACCTTCTGTAGTAGGTTTTATAGTTTTCTTTCCGTGTCTGCTATCAACACTGTGTCATCTGCATAATTTATGTTGTAAAGATTGTGGCCGCCAATGAATCCTGGTAGGACTTCTAATTCTCTCAGAATCGCTTCGCTGTATAGGTTAAGTCCGGTGAGAAGACACATCCTTGTCTTAAACTCTTTTCTGTTTTCGTATATCTGATGAATTGATTTGATTATTTGCGAACATAATCTTAACAACATAAAAATGCACGGAATTCTCTATGTTGATAGCAATCTCAGAAGGAAACGTTAAAGAACTTTTAGGATGTAATGTAAAGATTTGATTGATTGGTTGATTTTCTCCAATTTGTAATTTGTATGTTGGGCTCATCCTTTTGCTAACAACCATGCATTCTTCCAGTTCATATTTAGTCCTTTCTTCTCGCTTTCCTTCACCACCTTCTGTAGGAGCTTTTGTTTCCGTGTCTGTTATCAACACTGTATCATCTGCATATCGTATGTTGTAAAGACTGTGGCTGCCACTAATGAATCCTGATAGGACTTCTAGTTCTCTCAGAATTGCCTCGCTGTACAGTACTTCTCTGAATTCAACGTCTGATTTTATGGAAGGAGCTGGTGATACGCAATACTCTTCCAACACTACCGCATCATCAGATGGATAATGGCTCAGATTTTTTAATTGGAGAGCCGAGTTCGAAATCCATATGGTTTCGTTATATTCACTTACACGCAAATAATTTTAGGAAAGATATGAATTCGCCTTTTCCTCCGGTTAAGGGTTAATATTTAGTTTTCGACATTAAATGATCCATAGAGGGGAACAAAAACAACTAACCGACTAACTACAGGGTGCAATGAATAAATTGTCGTCTAAATGACGCAAAAATTAAAATCACACTGACATCTCATATTAACATATATATTTACCAAATTACACAAAAATATCTTGAAATACTAAAGAGTAAATGTATTCAATACAGTAACAAAAGCGGCAATTTCAGTTCATTTTACTGCAGCAAACTTTCTTTAGCCCTGTCACCCCTTCCCCAACAGCTTACAAGTCCATGGCGCCGTTTCCCTTTGGGAATATATCTTTCCCACATATAAAAAGAAACTCCAGCTGGCAATCATCATTTTGGAAAAACCTAAAACTCGCCGTTTCCCGATCGTGAAGATGTTCTCACCTGGGATATAAATGAATCTGACCCGTTTGAATCTGGAGTTCTAAACATACCTTCTCCAGACACAGAAGTATCTTCATATTATATGTAAGAGTCTTCTTTTTTGTTTAAAAAATACCTTATAAATTTTGTCTTTTCCTATCTAATATATATATATATATATATATATATATATATTCACACAAAAAACAAATGCAAAGGTTAATGATTTAATTGGCGAGAAATCCATCATCGCAAACAATATCCGAAAATGCTATTGGAAATGAGTTATTATTAAAACAATAACTCATTTCCAATAGCATTTTCGGATACAACAATACATATATTTTCGTTGTCCTCTTATTACTAAGAGAAAAAACAAGAACATCTATTCCATACCTGAAGATGTCTGTAGGAACAGACGAAAGCTTGTAGTAAAAATAAGACCTAATACGGCAGAAATTTATAGAAACAAGGATCTTTTCATTCATAACGGATTCGGAGGTTTTTGTATATTATTTGAATTGTTTGCGATGATGGATTTCTCGCCAATTAAATCATTAACCTTTGCATTTGTTTTTTGTGTGAATAATTCATGAATTTGTAAATTGATTGCACGTTTATCGAAATATATATATATATATATATATATATATATATATATATATATATATATATATAGATAGGAAAAGACAAAAATTTATACAGCATTTTTAAAAGAAAAAGCTAAAAAAAAAACAAAAAAAAAACAACCGGTTTCGTCCCAGGACTTATCAAGTTTATTTTTCTGGGAATAGAAAATTTATAAAAGCGTGTAAATTAAATTTAAATTAACGAATGGAATGGAAGGAAAAAAAAATGAATTTCAAGAAACTAGAGTCCAATACCATTCAGACCCAATAAGCATTCCCTCTGTTTACAAAGGGAAGGCCCAAGGGATCTGATATACTTGGACTCTAGAACTTTGAGGTGAAATGTGGAGTGGGACCTAGATAAAATCAAAAAACGGTCCGCACTAAAATTAACCACACGGTTGTTGTTTTTGTTTTTTTTAAATTTTTTTTTTTTAAAATGCCTTATAAATTTTGTCTTTTCCTATCTATTATTAAATTCTGGACCACAAAAAAATTATTAATATATATATATATATATATATATATATATAAGATAGATAATATTGTACATGTCTTAGTGATATAAAAGTCTCTCTGAGAAGAAAGTGTGTTTGTCATTTCTTTTCCTTTTCAGTCATTCGTTCCGTCTGTGAACCTCGATGTTATATCACAGACATAATAATGCTCATAATGGGGGAAATGAAAATGGGAGAATCCATCTTTCTTCCATGGCAATCTTCTGTTATACCTATTGTAAAGATTGACCCTCAAATATATGGCAGGCTACTAGTGGCCCCTAAATTAGGTCTACCAGTAAAAGAAGTTTACGATAACCTGTGCCAAAACTACACAAGGTCACGCCACTTGTCTGTATATCGAGACACTAACCGCAATATCTTTCTATATGCATTTTATAGCAAACAGCATAAAGTACACACCGGTAGGTACTTGTGTATTGTAACATTCAAAATTCTTCATGTCAACTGATGAACACATTAAAGTTAACATCAACTGCTATGAAATATTACCGTCATAACTATCATGAAATTGCGCAGATGATATGCATACCATACCTTGTTGTCTGTTTTGTTGCCTGAGTTAAACGGCGCTTCAGTCAGTGATTACACTTAGTGTATTAGTGGTTGGATGCGTTAAGTGTTGTAGTATTAATTGAATAATGAATTCATGTTACTAATTTATTATCCTATAATAATTGTACTTGTCTTTCCTTTATTAGTTTGTACAACTGTTATGTTCTACCAATATCTCATAAATAATTAACAATTCCGTTTTGATCACAAAAAAGGGAAGAGACACTACTTGGTTTCAGTGAGAGAAAGAAAGAAGCGCAAATAGAAGTGTTTCACGGCTGTTTCAGCCAAATAGAAAAAGTTGGCAAATTCAAGTCTTTTCATTTGTACCCCCTTACTTCTTAAACTAACGACCAGCATTGATATTTATGATTGTTATTTCAATATTTTGTTAAAATTGTTAAGCTATAAGATACAGTATGTATGAGTTACTGTAATGTGTTTAGATTAAATGGTATCTTAGAGTTAAGGTTTTAATCATCAATGCAAATTTGGTAACTTTCAAGTAATCTTTAAAATAATGTTGTACCATAATTGCACAGCCATTGTGTCATTAGAGTATGTGTATATTCAATAAATTGCCAATATGTGTCATTAAACTGTCATTACTATCATGGAAATTGTGCAGATGACACGCATACCATGCCTAGCGATCTGAATGTGCACCTGTGTTAAATAGCACTTTGGTCAATGTTTACACTTAGTGTATCAAGTGTTGGATACGGTGTGTGTTGTAACGTTAATAGAATACTGAATTTGTATTACTATTTTAGTATTTTATATTCATTTCTGTGTTAATATGCCAAATATGTTCACCAAACACAAGTTTTAGTGGGATATATTTGTGGCAGCCCGCTGGTGGTACGATAAGTGGTAAGTGATGTAAAATAATTGTTAAAAGTGCTGTCCCACTTGTTTACAACTTGGTGGTAAAGGTTGGCATTTTATACCTGCCATATAAATCGACCCCTAATTTTGGAAATATTTTTTAGGTTTGAAAACTTGACTTGTATGCCGCAATTTACGTGAGGTATACTAAAGCCTGTGTGACATTATAATTTAATGAAAGTTTTCTATTTAATGTAAGGGAGCATGATTATCCACTCCACACGTATCAGTGTTCTCTCTCTCTCTCACATTTTTCCTGTACCGGAATTAAGTCCAAATTTGGATAACTTTTTGGCCTCTTAAGGAAATGAAAAAACCAAATATGCTACTAAGAGCCCGGAAATAAAATGGCATATTACGGATTTGATTTGTTAGTTTAATGGCATATCAACTCTTAATGGGTCGTTTAATTCTGAAATTTAATTTTGTTGGGAGCTTGAACTAATACAAATATGTTATATATTATTCTGCTTGCACAGTTGAATACATGGTAGATGATACTCAGCTTTTGTGCATATCCATGTTTGTGTGAGTATAATTACTAGAGGCGGTGATATGTGTGAATTATGTTATAGTTTTGTTGGAAATATATTTTAGAATAAAGTTTGATTTCTTTAAGAAATTGTAGGATATTTTATGAATTAATGCCAGGAAAGAGTTCTTTCAAGTTGGTTACTTGGATGATTTCCTTTTGCGACATATTAACAAATTTATGGATTATTCAATACTGAAAATCTAAACATTATGAATACAATTTTATGGCTGCAATTAAATATATATTGAACGCAATTGTATGTCGTTAACTACATATAAAATGCATTGTTGGACATTTTGCAATAAAATGCATCGTTGGTAATTCTACTATAAAAGATTTTGCTGGTCATTTTGCTGTAGAAGTCATTGTTGGTAATTCTACTATAAAAGATTTTCCTGGTCATTTTGCTGTAAAAGGTATTGTTGGTAATCATACTATAGTATACATAGCTGGTCATTTGGATATAAAATGCATTGTTGGTAATTTTTCTATAAAATACATTGGTGGTCATTTTGCTTTGACATTGTAAATATTAAATATTGAAATCAATTTTATTTGGAAGACAACATGGTTTTCCAGTAGTAAACCTCCATCTGTGAGTAATAAGTTCTTGTCTCAGATATTCAAAAGGTGATCAATTGATAACAGCAACAACAAAGATGAGGACATTAGTCTGACCGTAAATAATATAAATAATAACTCCTCATCCCAGAAATTCAGAGAAAAATGATCGTTAATATCTTCTATTCGGTATTTCCTTTTAGGATGTAGGTGGTCATGGCTCTCCACAATTTCCTGTTCTTTCTAGCTTAGTAATGTTTATCTTTTTGCTATCTCTCCTAAACCCTGTTCTGCCAACCATTTACACAAAGTCGTTATTCTTCTCCTTCTTCTATATGCCGTGCCCCTTCAGGACATGTGTGATCATGGCTCTCCACAATTTCCTGCCCTTTGTAGCTTAGTAATTTTTGTGTTTTTGCTATCTCTTCTAAACTCTGTTCTGCTAACAAATCACCCACGCTCTTTTTTATTCACCTTCTTCTATAGGCCGTGTCTCTTCAGGACGTGGGTGATCACGGTTCTCCACAATTTCCTGTCCTTTATTTTCTTTTTGTTATCTCTCCTAAAACTTGTTCTGCCATCCATTTACTTAAGCTCGCCTGGGAGGTTATGCGTTGTTTTCCTCTCTTGCCTTCAATCTGCACTGTGAGTATCAAATTTTCCAAACCGTCTTTCCTCTTTATGTGCCCTAGAAATGTCAACTGTCTGTTCCTGATGCTAAGTATAAATATCCTTTTTGTTTCTGTTTTTTTTTTAAAATGTCATTGTTGCTCACATGTTTGGTTCATAGTATTCTCAGCATCCTTCTGTAGAACCACATTTCTGCTGCTTCAAATCTCTTCTTCTGTCTAGGTATTTACGGCCACATAGGAGGACTGATATTAAATAGTACTGATTAGTACTGATTATTTTTGTTTCTAACGAAACTTTTCTGTTTCTTAATACTTTGCTTAGCTTTTGAAAGGCTTCTTTCGCTATCCCAATTCAAGCTTTCCGTCCTCTGTTACAACAAATATTCAAATTTTTATGGGAATCTTACAAATTAAAATCCATAGGATTAAACTGCTCGCAAAACAACGGGTCCCGTTGTCCTATGAGAATTTTCTCACAGGTTTTTACTGCCATTGTTTAGGACGACAAATGAGGAGAATATTTGGAGATGAGCAAAGAAAAAAACGAAAAACTATAATAATTTAACCCTTACCTAACCATGGATGGACAAAGACATATCCAGGTGCAACCATCGGTTTAGGCTCTGCCGATCGGATGAGTGTTTTGACAGCATCTGGGTGGGCGATAGAGATACCAGGGTAAAGAAAACTCACCCAACAGCAAAATGTTTGACACCTTTTCTCCATCATTTTCCGTGTGTAAGAAAGAAACCCATCTGGATTCTTTAGCTAGAAGAAAATAGGGATTAAAAACAATAAAAGTAAGTTTATTAATAAAATATACAGGATGGTTGAAAAACAACTCCCTGTTTTATGTATGATGGACTCTCCCGTTTAACTATAGTTTTTACAAGACGGGAGAGTCCACCCTGCATAAAATAATGAGTTACTTTTCAACCAACCTGTATATTAAATGATAAGATTATATAATGACCATATTCTATCAGCAGGTACTGGCGGCAGGATCGAGAATTCGCCGGCTGCATTGCCTGGTGATAGGCGGAATCTTTCGAGGAGGCTTAAGGTTCCACGTACTAATTAAATGCTTACCGACTGAAATATAAACAACTAATATTTACCCATTCCTGAATCAAGCAAATTCATATAGTCTCAACCAACTCAAACAACCACTAATTACCTTTTTGCGAATCGAGTAATTGTTTATAGGCTTAAACATAAACCGCCATTATTTATCTATTCTCGAATAAATTAAATATTTACAGACTAAACTTAATAATAATAATAATAATAATAATAAATTATTTCAACATTAAATGATCCAACAAGGCTTGACATGTAAATAATTCTTGATCATTGACAATCCCATTCTTCCTGATTTACAATACATTCAAATAGCAAAATCATTAGCAATGAATTTACATTATATATATAATAGCCCTATTGCTAATAATGCTTACAGTTATTCCTGACCATCTGGTAATCCCTTTTTTCCTTATAAAATCATTAGCAATAGGACTATTAAAGAGTGTTCCAATAACTTGGACTGATTTTAAATGTGAATTAAATTTACACGACTAATGATTTTTTTTCTTTTTCTTTCAGATTTAACAACTTAAGTCTTTGGAAATTTCAACCATGGAAAGATTAAAAATCAACCAACGTCTTAAAGTTATCTAAGCCTATTACGAAAATGGGCGTTCAAACAGAAATGCAGTTCGCGATTTTTTTTGGTTAACATATTCGACCAACGGAGAGTGCAATTGGAAAATTCGTAAATTCAAACAAACAGGGTCGGTGGCAGATGTGAAAATGCCATTGTGTGCTCGTTTACGCCGTTCAGCTGAAAACATTGCTGCAGTGCACGTGAATGTGGCCGAAAATCCAGACCCCTCTATTCGTCATCATACGCAGGAATTGAACCTCTCCACAACAAAAAAAGGTTACATCAAACTTTGACAACAGATTTGTCTCTACACGTCCGCAAAATTCAATTGACACAAGAACTGAAACCTGCTGACCATTTGGAACGCCGTACATTCGTCAACTGGGTGCATGAGCAAAGACAAGCTGATTTTTTCGCAAAAAATCCTCTTTAGTGATGAAGTCCATTTTCATCTTGGTGGATTCGTTAATAAGCAGAATTGTCGAATTTGGGCTGATGAAAATCCCAGGAAGTTTGCTGAAAAGTCACTGCATCCACAAAAGGTCAATATTTGGTGCGCATTTTTTTGCTAGCGGAATCATTGGGCCGTATTTCTTCAAAATGATGCCGGGAATTCTGTTACGGTGACAGGCGAGCGATACCGTGCCATGATAACCAACTTTTTATGGCCTGAATTGAATTCTATGGATGTCGAAGATTTGTAGTTCTAACAGGACGGCGCCAAATGCCACACAGCCAATGCAACAATGGCTTTACTGAATGAAAAGTTCCCAGGTAGCATCATCTCTCGAAACAGTGAGGTCAATTGGCCACCACGATCGTGCGACTTGACGCCTTTAGATTTCTTACTTTAGAAGCCATCTGAAAAGTAAGGTCTATGCTAACAAGCCAACAACAATTTGACAGCTAAGGAATGAGATAATAAGGCATATTGATGTGATCGAGGAGCAACTATGCAGAGACGCCATCAAAAATTTTGACCATCGAGTGGAGGTGTGCCGCCGAAGCCTTGGCGGACATTTGGGCGATATTATTATTCACACATAATTGCCATGACTTAAATAACATGATCCAATAGAGAAATAAATAAATTTTCACCAATAACACTGATTTATTTACTGCTGACTTTGATCCGTCTTAATGAAACACCCTTATATATAATCCGTCTTAATGAAACCTCTATCTATTATGTACATTTGCATTATAGATATAATAGACCTATTTTATCAGTAATACTTTTAAAAAAATCATTTCGCCCCAATCAAGGGGATAATGCCACTAAGACACAAGAGGTTACTGGGGGAGGGTGAAAGAAAAAATACGAGAAAGAAGTCTGAACCGGGTGATAATCAAACCTGTCTTAACCACAGACAATCCATTTCATCTTGATTTTCGTCATTTTACTTGCATAACATGGTGACTATTGAAAGAACTTTTTGGTGAAACTCAGTGCAAATCAAACCTTTATCTCCCTTATAAATTCTCCTGTAAATCAAAGCTTCGTTTCCCTTTTTTCATTCTCGTGTAAACCAAAACTATGATTCCTTTTGTAACTTTCCTGTAAACGAAACCTCTGTATCACTTTTTGATTCTCCTCCAAACCAAACCTCTGTCTGCTTATTTATGCAAACCACACCTACGTTTACCTTTTTCACTTTCGTACAAACTAAAGCGATGTTTACCTTTGGGAATCTCGTACAAGGAAAATCTAGGTCTACAGTTTTGAATCTCTGTATCTATGTCAATCTTTCTGCATCTGGTGCATGTCAAACCAACATCTACCTTTCTGAGTCTCGTATAAAACTATTTCTACCTTTTTGAATTTGGTAACAACTGAAAATATTAAAAATTTTTTTTTACTCTCGTTGCAAATCAAACGTGCGTCTACCGTTTTGATTCTCGTGTAAACTATATCCACCTTATTTGACTCGGGTTCAAACTAATTTCTTTTTGGGTTCAGATTAAAATTGTATCCACCCTTTTAGGTTCAAACTAAAGCTATGAACCTATATTCACCTTTTGGGGTTCAAACTAAATCTATATCCACCTTTTTTTTGGATCAAACTAAACCTAAGTCCACCTTTTTGACTCTGTTTCAAACTAAACCTACCTGTAACGTCTACCTTTTTGACACACGTGGAAGCCAAATTTGATTCACGTGCAAACTAAGATTATATCCACCTTTCTATCATGCAAACCAAGGCTACGTTTCCATTTTTGACTTTCATACAGACTAAACTCTTGTCTGCTTTTTTTTTTTTAACTCTTTTGTAAACCAAACTTATATCTACCGCTTTGAGTCTGATGCCAAACTAATCTTATGTCTACCTTTCTGACTTTCGTAGAACCTAAATCTATGTCTACGCTGTTGACTCTCATACAAGGAAACCCAAATCTACCTGAGTGACGCTAGTGCAAGTTAATCCTATGTCTTCGTTTTTGACTCATTTATACCGAACTTATAGCTACTTTTATGACTTTCGTATTTATATCTATCTTTTTGACATTAATGCAAACCAGGGGCACTCCGACGTGGTGTAATGATTAGCAAGCTTGACTCGCTTGATCAATTACAACTGAATGTTGAGCTCGATCCTCACTGGGTGCCCCATACTTTCAGTTTCGTGCTACATCCAAGCTACGCTTAGAAAATCGCCATTAATGTAAGCCCGAACTCACATCTACCTGTTTGACTGTCATGCAAATTTAACATATGTTAACTTTTCTTTTTTATAGAAAACGATCGAATTTGATATAAAAAAAAAAACATGGATAAAGGCTGCAATACTGTACCACCCAAAGGCATGAAACGTGGAGAATGAGCAAGTAGAATCTCACTATTTGGTGTGTCTATGCCGACTGTGTAACCCCGCGAGAGAGTGTTGAGCACATTTTTAAAAAATTCTGATTGGATGACAAATTGCCTGACGAGTTATTCAACATATTTTCCGGACAGAGTTGCAGTTTTCTTGGGGTGATTTTCTGAAAAGGTCTGTAATCTTACATCGCAGCACCTTCTATATAATTCTTGTGGTCGTTTTTTAGACAAGATGCAACCATTTTGATTAATTCCGGCTCATTTCCTCATTTTTTTTTTGCTGTTGTTTCAACCATTACACTATCCGATCATCGTCAGTGTCTATTTCATTTCGGAATATTAAATCGTACACAGGAGAAGGTCAATGCACTGTTTCCTTTATCTTTTTTTACAATAAATGTTTGCTCATTAGAAAGCCTAAGAGCCACCCAAGATAGAGGGTTACTGAATGAGGTTATTGTAAGAATGCAAACGGAGGAAGTTCAAATTAAGAGTTTTAAAACGTTCAAATCAACCAGCCTTTTAAAACCTTTTATTCTACATTCAACACCATCACTTGAAAAGACACCAGAAGTGTTGAAGCAAAATGGCTATTTTTGTAGTGATTTTATAACATATTTATGTTATAATTTTCGAATAGATCATATTTGCTCTACACATTATTAAGCACTTTTTTAAGAATAGTATTTTTGGTTATTGGAATTTATTCCGTGTACACCATTCTTAGACTTGGATATATATATATATATATATATATAATAGTTAAGAATCATTGGTTAGAATGAGAGGTTTTCTGAAACTCCTCTCTCTGTCATACACACACATATGTGTGTGTGTGTTTGTGTGTATGTATATATGTGTGTGTTTGTGTGTGTATGTATGCGTGCGTAAAAATTCAGATATAAATAAAATTTGTTTGCAAAGACAATATAAATCAAATAAAATATAAACAGAAGGAAAACTTTTCTCCATCAATGCGTTTTGTTCCTTGAGGAATATTATGAAGGAACAAAACACTTTATCAAAGTAAATACCTCGATAACGTTCCTGAAAGAATGAAACGCGTTGGTACAGAAAAGTTTTCCTTTTTGTCATTTCTGATAGTACAGTGGTTTCTTGTTGCCTTCTCTATGGCGGTCCTGGGTATGACGATAAACTACACCCGACAGCAATGACTCTGATCGGGACATTGAAGATTTTGAAGAGCATGGAATCATTTCTTAATTGCCGTTGTTCCCAGGTCCACTCTGACCCGGGATGGTAGCACCTATCAGCTATGGGAAAATAGTGAGCCCCAAACTGGGGCCAAAACGTGAAAATATAAAAATACATTAAGAAAAAATTAAAAGCAATACATTTTTGGAAAAAAGATTACTAAGCTCACAAGAAAATAATATTTCAGCATTAAATGACCCATAAGGTGTCGATATACCGTTAATGAAACCCAGCCAGACCGACTTTAACATATCCACAGAAGACCGTCCTGGGTATGACGATAAACTACACCCGGCTGCAAGGCCTCTGATCGGGAGGTTTTGAAGAGCGTTGGATAACCTTTTAATTGCTGTTGTTCCAGGTCAAACCTGATTTGGGGTGGTAGCACCTGATAGGGTCCCAGCTTTGGGCAAATAGTTAACCCCCAAACTGGGGTCAAATCACTATGAAAGTATAAAAATAGATTTTTATAGTAAAAATATCAGTAATACATTTTTGAAAAAAAAAAAATTACCATCAATACATTTGACTCTCGACAAAAACCTTTACAAAAATAAGTCAATGAAACTTGATCTACAAACTGATTTCTTACAAAGAATGCATATTCTATTCATACAAACCTATCCTACAAATCTTGTTTGCATTAAATAACCCACTGAGGTGTTGATATGTTGTAAAACAAACCAAACAAAACTAAATTTCGGCATTAAATGACCCATAAGGAGTTGATATGTCGTTAAACCAATTAACCAATCAATCCACAGAAGAACATTTTAGTTTTATGAAAGAAAATAAAAAAAAAGGGTCTTACCTCTTCGAGATTTCCCCAAAACCAATGTTTTGGTAAGCATGGAAACTGTAAAGCTGCACTTTTACATTCGACGAATTTCTTCAAGCGACAGAAGAAAGAATGGGTTAGAAAAAGAAAGAAAATGGTGACAAAGCTGATCATCAACTGGTACCACAGAAGAGACAACATGTTTCACTCCAATCACAACTGATACACAGGCATAGCAAGAATATGTCAATCTGAAATAAATGAATAAATATTCCTTTTAATAGTGTCGTTCCAAAAGTCGCAAAATATTTAACATCATTTTCGTAAATATATTTCTCGCAGTAGCAGTGGTGTCCCCAGAGCCTGATGGAGCCCAACCCTCTCCAGGCTGGGTTAGAATTCAGAGTTTTTCCTTTTCCTAGACCAGCTGCCACTCAAAGCAACAGAACCCAGTCTGTTCTGCTATTTCACCCATAGCTGGGGGAGAAGAGATTCATACCTTTCCCAAGGGTATTAGCACGTAAGTGAATGTAATGGACTCGACTGGAATTTGAACTCGGCTCTTCATTTCCTCAAACCGAGCCATTAGTCCCGCTGTGTCTAGAGTACGCTTATTTTAACGGTAAATATTACTAGATTTAGCTTATGCTAATAGTAATATTAACCGTTTCCTTATATGGTATCATAGGGCATTCATAGATTGAGCAGCCAGGGCTTAGGCTTTTCTTTACTCCTTTCTCATCGGGTTGGGATCAAAGTGTAGGGAATGCAACGTTCCGGCGTGGCCGGTTCGGCGTGGCCGGTTCGGCGTGGCCGGTTCGGCGTGGCCGGTTCGGCGTGGCCGATTCGGCGTAGAAATTTTTCGGCAGAGGGACGATTAGGCGTCAGATTACTACGTCGTTATAGACAAATTTTCTCTCTCTCTCTCTCTCTGTCCCTTCCTTCCTCTCTCCCTCTCCCTCTCTCCCCTTCCTCTCTCTCTCCCTCCCCTTTCTCTCCCTCGCCGAAACGTAGCAAACCCCAAATATGTGTCTTCGGGCGGACACACTACATTTTATCTCTCAATTGTGCTTCTCTCTTTGGACAGAACACCACAGATAAAAGAGAGATTCCTGGTGCCAAGGATTCCAATTCTGCAGCAGAAATTCTCTCATTTGCACGAAAGGAGGGAAGGTCGGTAGAAAATAGTTGCCGGGGCGACGTTGGTTGCGGAGACAGGGTAATTTTGGAGGGACCTGCCCCCAGGTTCACGTGCTTGGGTTCCCACACCTTGTGCCATATCCCGTACCGTGGAAGCAAATAAATACCAAGTGTATTATCTGTTCTCCTCATCTCTAATAATAATGGTAATATTAGCCGTTTCCTTATAAAGAAACATTCATCATTCATTGGCCGAACAGCCAGTGCTACTCAAGTCAGCATTTTCTTCATTCTTTAGTTATCGGGCTTGGATCAAAGTGCAGTATTTGTTTTCCTTATCACTGATGGTAATGGTAATATTGCTATGATTATGGCGCAAATAAAACAAGAAAATACAAAGGTGAGCAGTTAAGATTAGTAGAGATAAATAAAAAAAAAGGTTTATTTATGCCATGGAATGCACAGACTTTGAATCTGTTACCCACTTTTGTGTGAAATCGTTTGCAGTGCACCTCCAGATTCCCACTCTTCGCCGCATTTTAAAGGAAGTCCGAATTTTGAATGAATCCATAAATACATTATTTAAATTATTCGGACTATTGTCCTCATCTTTGTCGCCATATTTATCCGAATTTTGAATGAATCCATAAATCTCATTCCACTTGGGTAGCTGTGAAAACTGATTATGAATTGAAGACAAACTCTGGTCAACAAAAGATAAAACAAAAAAAAGTCCTGACGATAACGGTCTTCGGATATTTGAACTTCATCGCAGGAATTGTATACAAATAAAACGTATTTTGTGATGTCGCACTTGCGACGGAAACCTTTCATCAATCTCATTTTCAGTTGCAATTTCACGCGCTGTCGACATAGCAGAGGGTATAATCTAATAGTTCAGTCATCGGTGGCTTCGGTTATATTCTTTGGGGGTAGTTAACCGTTACTATGTCTTATTTTCTGGATAGACCTTTCGTTGGAGGATACTATTAACTTATGTGCCTACTTCTTTGAAAGCATAATGTGATGCAAGATGGGAATCACGAATCAATGCAGTCAAACCAATGAAATTTCACTTTAAAACATTAGATCTGCGCTTATCATCCTGTGAGAAAAGTCTTTGGAAAAACAGACGGCGCTACAGCGACTGAAGCAACATCACTGTTGGACTGGATTTCTACTTGGAATTTTGTACTTAACATCATCATTTACTACTATGTTCTGTTTCAGGCGAACAACGTGAGTCAATTGTTGCAATCTTCTGATGTTACTATTGATATTGTAGCGGTATCCACGACCTAAATCAACCCGTACATTTTTTACTTTACGAATGTGTAAGCAAACGAAAAAGCAACAAGAGAAACAAAAAGGAACACAAAACGGTTTTGTAACAACAAGATTTATATTTGTGTAATCAGAAGTTAAGATTTTCTGAAAATATGTATGAAGCTGGGTAAGCTCTGTGATCCACATTTTGCACAGATTTGTACAAAATTCAACATTGACAAGAAAGCGGTGGCGGGATGCTAAAATACCCACGCCCCTCAGATTGCAAGTTGCAGGAACGAAAACTTTCAATATATAAAAAGTTATAAACTGAACAGAGAAAGTGTCCAAAAATGGTTGACGCATGTTAAAAGGTGAAGACATGATTTCTGAAATGTTATCAGATGAAAAAATCGCCGAAAGTATGTGCGTTGTCAGCGGTGCTGAAATTATATTCGGAGTGAATGCATAGCGCAGTCTGAATAAATATGTGTCAACGAAGTGTACACGTGTCTTCAGGGTGAATTGCTGTTAGCCGACACTATTGGCAATGACTCCTGCCGATTTCTATGAATGAATAGAAGTGAAAATGCAGGTGCAATTTGAAATCCTGTAAATTCTTGTTTTGTTCTAATGCTCCGCGTAATTTAATAAGTAGAGATGCGTACTGAAGTAGTGTACTGTAGAATGCAAGTGGATTTATCTCGTAATGATAGCGTCGTGCGAAATTGAAAAAAAAAATTGCGTATTAGAGATAATTAAGTAATATTTAATACAGTCAGCAAATTTTTATGTGAAATTTGCGTCTCGTAGAATATAATTCAGGACAGTGAGTGGTCCAAAGATTGCGTCGCGTAGAATTTATTTCAGGACAGTGAGTGGTCCAAAGATTGCGTCGCCTAGAATTTATTTCAGGACAGTGAGTCGTCCAAAGATTGCGTCGCGTAGAATTTATTTCAGGACAGTGAGTCGTCCAAAGATTGCGTCGCGTAGAATGTATTTCAGGACAATGAGTCGTCCGAAGATTATTTCACACTTAATCTCTTCAGCACAGAAAACTTTTGTTCATTAAAAGGCACGGTAAGCAATGTCGAAATGTTAATAAGAAGTGGTGAGAAATGTCGCACATGGTGTAGAATGTTGTATTTGTGCCTTTTCTTAAGTTTAGGATTAAATAGAATGCGATCGGTGAATGAAATGACAGATGGCGTCTGTATTACGGAAATTTTTTATCGTAGCAGCAGCGTAGCGAGAAAATGAAGAATTTTGCATTATTAATAGCGAACAAATAACGTGCTTACAAATTCACAAAGTCGTGTCGCATCATAAGTAAGCGAAAGGAACAATGAACAGTCCAGAAATATCATATGTTCAATCCAGTGAAAAGTGTTGAATTATGATAATATAGCAGTTGTTCTTTTATCAAATATTGCCTAATACTTTGCTACGCACACTCGTATTCGGGGTCACCATTTTTGTAGCGGTATTGACGGCCTAAATCAACCCATATATTTTTTTACTTTACGAATGTGTAAACAAACGCAAAAACAAAAAGAGAAACAACAAAAGGAACACAAAACGATCTTATAACGACAAGATTTATAATTGTATAATTGAGATTTTCTGAAAATATGTATGAAGCTGGGTAAGCTCTGTGATCCACTTTTTGCACAGAAATCGACATTGATATTCGGACATGATTTAAATATCAAGTGACCAATCAGAAGCTGAGGTTTTCTGAAAATATTTATGAAGCTGCGTAATCTCTGTGATCCACTTTTTTCACAGATTTGTACAAAATTCAACATTGATAAGAAAGTGGTAGCGGGATGCTAAAATATTATGACCGCAGAGAACAATGCAACTTGCAGATTTCTTCAAGACTATCGCGAAAATGGTTATACCTCTGCTATGTCGACAGCGCGTGAAATTGCAACAGAAAATGATATTGATGTTGAAAGGTTTGCATCACAAGTGCGACATTACAAAATACGTTTTATTTGAATATGATTCCTGCGACGAAGTTCAGACACCCGAAGAACGTTATCGTCAGGACATTTTTTTATCTCTTCTTGACCAGGGTTTGTTTTCAATTCATAATCAGTTTTCTCAGCTATCCAAGTGGAATGAAATTTATGGATTCAGAGTCTGTCTATATTTCTGAGATGAGGTATTATGTACGTTATTTACATTATTCGGACTATTGTCCTCATCTTTGTCGCCATATTTATCACAACGTTTCGCTCCGGCCTTCTTCAGGTGGTTGGAATTTCGAACTGAACCCTTTATTTCGCTCACTGTAGACTGTTCTAGTTCCACGTGCCATGTTTGATGGATGTCAGTTATCAGTTATCTCCTGCTAATTTTCCCTCTGAAAGTTCTCCACTGCCTTAACCGGGTATTGAACTCACACTCTTTGGGTCTGTCACTGGATCTAACCAACGCCTTTATCCACTGTGCCATGTGTCCTTGAGGAAACATTTATAAACAACAACGAGATTTATATTTATATTTGTATAATGATCTACAAGCGTAGGGGTTAATTCCCTTGGGCCGGATTAACGTTTTACTAATGAAATATTTTTTATCTAAGCTCATAAAAAGTTGAATGAACTTGCCGCTCAAAATGTTCACTGTGAGTTGAAAGAATTTTGTAAAGCTGAAAATATGTTGATAAACTTTTAGCTTCAGAAGGGTTGAAAGAGTAAATGTTCTGTAATTAAGTTTCCGTAGCTTGTCATTAAGTTTGTAATGAAGTTTGAAAAGTTTCGTACGTCCGTGTATGTATGCAGGTGTGAATATGTTTTCATAGCGTCCGCCCGCAAAGGGTCGATATACGCGATCTCTTTTTTACAACTACATTTTTGTAGCGAGAGAAATCAAGGAAGAACGAATTCGTGTCTGGTATTTATAATCAACTTAATCACGTGACAGACTCGAAAGGCATTGATAGATTTTGGGCGGAATTATTTTTTAGTCAGGTCAAGAACTAGGTCGATATTATTCGAACATGATTTAAATATTAAGTGACCAACCAGAAGTTGAGGCTTTCTGAAAATATGTATGAAGCTAGATAAGCTCTGTGATCCGATTTTTGTACAGAAATCGATATTGATTAAAAAAATGGTAGCGGAATGCTAAAGCCTGTTACACGTTTACAGATTTTTTTTTAATATGAAAATTATCAATCCAACGGCATTGAAGGTAGACACAAGTTCAGTTATCGCCATATAAAGTTTTTGAACGAAATAATAGGTTTTTTTTTTTAGCAACGATGTTAGTGTCATTGAAGATACGGTCCTCGTGTGTATTTCTCAGGAATAATATAGATGGTTGATGTCGCTGAAGAAACTAACAGAATGTATATATTTATTATTGCAAAATACAATAATTGCGGCACAAGGCCAAAAAGACGGGAGCGGGTTAAGGCTGGTCATCACTAACTATCCTATACCTAGCTAATTTGATTCACAGCCCATTTATTCATTACAAATAACACATATAGTAAAAGAAGACATACTTCACCTTTTACTCCTACATATGCCACAATACCACATACACAAAAAAGGGAACCTAAAAATTAAACACCGTGATTTAAAAAATTAAAAATGTACAAATTTGCTATGTCCAAATATTTGCAAAATATATATAAATAAAAATCTGAAAATGATATGAAATGAGGGGGAGGGTTCTAAATCCCAATACAAACAAAATATAACAAATGTAAAACAGAAAATAACACTGGTTCGACCAGAATTGTAGCGGGTTTGTATTTTTATACATTGTATTGTATTTATTTTTAATTTTTCTAGTTGAATTGTTTACATAAGATGGTAATCCAATATTGTACATAATTAGATTACAATAACGTTTTCATTATATATGAATACAGCTATGAAAATTGCATTGGTTTTAGTGACTCCAATTTTGGATTTTTTTAAACAGGAAAAAGCGAAATTCAACATTTTCTCTCTCGCCATTATTTTCTCTCCCTCTCCTCGTGTCTACGTTATTTTATCTCTCCCATAATCTCAGTACTGATTTTTTATTTTGCTTTTTTGCGACACAGGGACAGTGGAGAAAGGTAGGTACAATGAGTTGAACTGTTAAAACACCTCGCTGAAAATGTACAAATTTATTTATTTAGCTATGAATCGTTAGAGAGGAAACGTTTTTTTTTGTTGTTGCAAAGGCATGACAGGACCAGGTGTAAAAGAAGCTAGAGAACATGTAAATTAAGGATTATCACATTCGTCAAACGTTTACGGAAAATTCGACCCATAACCCTACAAAAAAAAACAACAACAAAAAAACAAAAAACGAACCCTAATTGACACTATTTTTTTCAGTCGAATGCTTGGCAAAACAGTAAACATCAAGTCCTGTCATGCATTTAGCACAGGTTGTTTTTTTTTCAGTTTCTCGGAGATGTTTTTTTAATTTTTATTTTTTTATATATATTGTCTTGGAATCTTAAATATTTTCAGCAGAGATGCGCCGGCAATTAATCTTTATGGAAATGTAAAAATCTGCGACAAACACTTTTTTTTTTTCAAGTAAAATTTAGTCATGAAAATATTGGTGGTTCACTGGTTATAACATAAGGAATAACATTTTCTCAGATTATTCTAAAATAAAAAAAAATAATTATTCATTATAAATAATGAATATTTCATTTAAATTAGATAATTCCCTCATTTTGGTAATTAAAAAAAAAAAAAAAAACTGCTCTTTCCTGCCACTTTTCCTTCGAGGGTGTTTGGGCCCCCAGGTTGGGTAACTTTGAAATCGCTATGTACTAGAGAGGAGGGGTTCTCGTATCAACGGTTCTTGGCGAGATCCTAGCACTTGCCCTGACAATATCCAATAATAATATCGAATCATTTAAACATTTTACCGTAGAAGTTATGTGACCAACAGAAGATTTGTTCTTACCAACGATCTTAGTATTTCTCTTCCAGCATACGTTTTTTAATGTTTAAGTTGAGAAATTTCAATTTGTCATTTAAAGGAAGCATTTTTTGGCATGAAATGAAATTTTAGTCTTTTTTTTTTATTTTTGTTAATGAAATAGACAATAATATCAATTATTTGTGCTGTGTGTACGGCCTGTAATTAACTGAAAAGTATTTATCAAACATTTTAAAATTTACTTAAATCGTTATATTTGCTGTGTAGATTTCCTCAACACAGACGAATAAATTTATTTAAAAGACAGCACATTCATAATTTAAACCTCCACACGGTCAACAGAAATTCTAATGTCGTCCACCCCAACAAAAAAAAAAAAGTAAGTTCCACGAAAGAAAGGAGAAAAGAAATTCTAGTTTCTTCCTGTTAGTTAATTCCTTCTCCACAGACAATATCTGGGTAAAACGATTTAAATAAATACTTTGTATATGTTCAGTGCTAGAAGAATTTGAGTTTTAGATAGTTTGTAAGAAAATGTACCGTGAAAAATATCACAAAAATTTTTGAATCACGCGTTCAAAGTTTTTTGTTTGTTTTCGATTCCTTTTTCTCTTGTGTGCGTGACTGGCCTTCTTTCTTTAACGATTTCTTTAAAAGCGATCCGGTGTGTGAAGTTGGCTGGTACATTTTTTCCCACGGTGAGTAAATTTAACATTGTGCATAATTACAATATAAATTTTCTTTGTTCAAAAGAGTTTTCTTTCTTCATTTTTTTTTTTTTTTTTTTTACTGGACTTTAATATTTGTGTTAAAAAAAAAGATGCAAACAAACATAGTACATAAGTTAAAAAAAAAATACAAAAAATTATTTGTCGTATTCTTTTTGTAAGTAAAAAAGAAAACGGTTTCATTCCGATGGGATGAATTTAAATTTCATAGTGCGGTGTCAGATGTGGGTATATGAGTATATAATGTTGGAGTGTGTTATTTAACATCCGCCGTCCACACAAATCCCTAAATTTAAAATTTTTTTTTTATGCGAACAAGTTCTCAACACTGAGAGTAAGCAGATGGTACCGTGCTACAAGGAAAGCCCCACTTGGTTTAAAAAGAAAAGACGCAAACGTCGTCTTTTATTTACGTCAAACAAAACTAAAAACGTGTACCCATGATTTCTTTTTCTCCAAGGCCAATAAGAACCACCCAATTAGGATTAAAAACACACATTCAAACAAACACACGACTTGAGATTGTGTGACGAAAGAGTTCTAATGTAAGTAAAAATATATCTCTTTTAAAAAAAAAGCATACTTACCTCTGGCCTTTCTTTACCGATTTCTCACAAACTTCGTCGACTGGAGTATTTATGTTTTTTATTTTGTGTGCTTATGGTCTGCAAATATTTGAAAACATTTTAGTTAATTATTAACCACTTGTTTGAATCAGAATTTGATTACAGCGTTTGTTTGTTTGTTTGTTTGTTTGTTTGTTTGTTTGTTTTCTTGTTTAATCTGGAGAAACCATTTGCTTAGAATTAAATTATTTTCTAGTCCAAGTCTATTAAACTCAGTGGCAATCTATTGTCGCGGGGTCCTTGTAAATATATGTATGCGGAAATATACGAGGAAGAGAGAAAGGCTGTGTGAGTGTGATTTGTTTTTTTTTTTTTTTTTTTTTATATAATAATACATAGTCGAACGGAATATGTTACAAGGCGGTATTTAAAGTGGAACTTCCACGCGTACATGGGACTTTAAGGGTAAAAATAACTCCAAAGCTCGTTGATAATTCCCTTTGTGGGGACGCGTCGGAGAGATAATGTCTAGGGGGGGGAGCCCCCCCCCCCCAAGGGCTGCACACGTTAAGTTTCATTTGAACTCCAATAGGAGTTCTATCTGGGTCTCTGGAGTATGTAGATAATATTTGAACTCACGAACCTTGTGTTTGTGTGTTAATTCTTTTTAATAAAAATTCGTCTTCTTATAGCATAGTAGTTACGGCGTTGGCAAACAGCACTGGTGAGAAAGATTGGGTTGTCAAAAAAATTCGTTCTCGTTTTGCGGTTAGAGGTTAAATTTGAAATAATTTTATTAATATTGTGTTTGGATTGGGACATCAATCAAATTAGTATCTTCTACGTGTTCAGTTCATAGGCGATGATGGCTCTCCACAATTTCCTATCCCTTGTTGCCTTTAGCAGTTTTTATCCTTTTTACTCCCGATTCCCCGTCCCACTATCAATTCACAAAAGCTCGTCAGGTAAGTAGCTCACTGCCCCCCCCCATCTTGCTTGCCCTCTGTTTGTCCTGTGAGGCTCGAATTTTTCAAACTCCCCTTCCTCATTACGTATTCAAGGAATTTCAGCAATCTTTTCCTGATTTTGATTATAATTGTTCTTTCTGTTACCATTCTCTTTAAGACTTGCTTGTTGCTTACTCGTTCCGTCCATAGAATTCTCAATATCCTTCTGTAGAACCACATTTCTGCTGCCTTTAATTATTTACCTCATCCGTGGGGAGATTGTCCAGCGTTTACAGTCATACAAGAGATACCACATAGCAATCCAGCAGTTTTTAAATAGAGGTCGGGAAGTGTGGCACTAAAATCCGAAGGCGCATTGGGAGAGTCAAAGATGCTTTCCAAAAGCTAAGCAGAGTATTAAGAAACAGGAAAAAAAATCCGTTAGAAACAAAGAAAATAGTATTGAACTGTTACGTAATATCAATCCTCCTATATGGCAGTGAATACTGGACAATCTCTTCAAAGATAAAGGAGAGGCTTGAAGCAATAGTAATATGGTTCTACAGAAGGCTGCTGAGGATGCCATGGACCGAATACGCGAGCAACAACGAAGTTCTAGAAAAAACAAAAAGGAAACTCATACTTAACATCAGGAATAGTCAGCTGAAATTTCTGGGGCACTTAATAAAGAAAGAGGGCTTGGAAAATCTGATACTCAAAAGACGGATTGAAGGCAAGAGAGACAGGAAAACAACGCATAACATACTTAGTGAGTTTGAGTAAGTGGATGATGGAACAAGCTTTAGAAGAGATAACAAAAAGACAAAATGTATTAATCGCTACAAAGGATAGGACGTTGTGGAGAGCCGTGAAGAGACATGGCAAACAAAGAAAAAGGAAACTAGAATATCTTTGTATATCGATTTTAACATGAAAATGAAAGGAAATAATCAATATTTATGGGATATTATGTTTAAAAGAGAAGGTGAAATACACGCATACACAAAAATGATTTTAGCAGGTTAGAGAGAAGCTACTGTGATTTTTGGAACCTTTTAAACGTAGACTTTCCTTGACATCATGCTACACCGCATTGATAGCAGCTTAAAACTTTGTGTCCCCCGAAAATCAACTAATGAAAATGATCTCATAAATTTCTGTTCTTACCATAACAACAAAATAAAATCCGCAATGATCATTGGATTCTACTTAAGAGCACACAGAATTTGCAGCCTTCAATATTTACACGAAGAGGAGAAATATATTGAAAGTGCTTTCAAGACGCTCCAATACCCTATTTCATATTTCATGCGAAACAAACGGCTCATAAAATATTCCCCAATAAAAAACACTCTTTTGACAAACCCAACTAAGGAAAATATCTATTGTTCTACCGACTGTATCACAACTACAAACGAAAAGAATTTATTTAAACTCAACATAAAATTTGCCACAACTACATCTAAAAAACAATAGAAGACTTAAGCAATATGAAACAATAAAACAAACCAAAACTTGAAGGAGTAATTTACTCTCTCACCTGCAAGGATTGCCAGAAAGAATATATATATTAAGAAGTTTAAACAAAAGATTATATGAAAACATTTTAAGAAACAACACACAAAACGCATTGTTTTTTCACCGTGACCAAAGTATTGAGACAAAGAATGCTACTCTGATTAAAAGAGAAAATAATTCACTAAAACGAAAATGTTTAGAAAGTGCTTTAATCGCTAATTTGCGTCCAGTTCCTTACAATGTTTCACCATTCTTGGCAATGTGGAATATTTCATAACAAAAATGATAGAGAGAAGAAGAAAAAAAAGAAAAAGAATCTAAATGAAATTGGTGAGATTATTTACCCAAAAGACATTATTAAAAAAAAGAAAATTTTCAAAAATCTAAAATTCCCAGCATCTCTCATTCGTGCGCATGTCTAGTCACATCAACGTAAACAAACCGAGTCCGAAGAAAGCCGAAGAGACGAAACGCGGCAGACGACGTCATATATTAAGAAATGGACAAGGTCCGACAATTTATTTAATCAGTAAGTAAATAAGTCCATTTCTTAATATATGACGTCATTTGTTTACATTTGATACGCCAGAGCAGTTATGAATGTTCGAGATTCATGGAAGATTGAAGTTTATAAGCAGTAAATTCGACCTTGTTTACCGAACGCTCCTTTGTGGCCGATCGGTAAGGCACGTCAGCGTAAATGACGGTTCCGTATAGGATGCAGGTTCGAATGAAAATTTCTTGGACATTCAGGCCGGTAAATGTTATTTAATACTGTTTATTATAAACAGAGCATTTACTTAAATACTTGTATCTATAAAAAAGAACGTTAAACATAAAAATGTCTTTAACACACATATATATATACACACATATATATATATACACATACACACATATATATACAAACACATATATACACACAATAATATATATACATATATATACACACGCGCGCGCGCACACACACACACACATATATATATATATATATATATATATATATATATACCAATTTGTGACTGGCAGTTATAATTCCAAGGAGGATATTAATTCAAGGAGAGCTCAACGTAAATTGAAATCACGATGCGTTATAATAATAAACAAAGAAAAAAAAAAGAAACTTAAAGATCCATTTCAGTTATAATTTATTTTGTGAATATTTTTATCTGTTCATCTCTTCAGACGGAAAGTTCTTAAAAAATTCAGACAATAGGTCTTGACTGAAATACTAAATAGGATGAGAAGAAAGGCGGCGAGGAAGAAAGAAAAATAACAGATTTATGAATATAATTTCTTTTAAAACATAAAAGAGAGAGAGAGAGAGAGAGAGAGAGAGAGAGAGGCGAAAGGAAAGAAGAAAGAAATGATGGAATAGTAGTAAAACTAAAATAGAATGTCCTGGCCAAGAAGTTTTTCTCCTAATGAATTAAACAAGTTAATACATCGGGTGATGTGGCGTCTGATTGAACTTGAAAGAGTTGCTGCAAATTATCCGATTGATAGGGGGGAATAAACACAGATTCAAATTAGTCTAATAAAGATAGCACTAATAATAATAATAATAATAAAGAGGAAATATAACATTAAATCCCTAATTGATATTCCATCAGTCAAGGAAATGCTGAAGCAGAAACTTCAGCTAAAGGCGCAGAGAACAAGACGATACGAAAAACGTTGTAGGTTCTATCGCCAAAATAAAATATTCAGAACGGACCATAAGAAAATTTACAGGGAAATTGGAAAAACACCTATACATGTCGAAAGGCCACCATCGATTGATAATGTACAGACATTTTGGGAAAATATTTGGAGCAACCCAAAGGAATATAACCCAAATGCAGAATGAATCCGGCGTGAAGAAGAACGAATGCTGGATACACCTCTGCAAGAATGGGAAAATATATCCACCGATGATATTAGGCGAGCTCTAACGAAATCCCCAAAATGGAAATCCCCAGCAAATGACAAGGTGCCCGACTTCTGGCTTTATCATCTCTCATCTACCCATGAAATTCTTGCAAAAACATTATCAATGCTTGTAAATAATCCCAATAAAATCCTGGAATGGATTACTGAAAGTATTACATACCTCATACCAAAAACAACTGAAACAAACGACCTGAAAAATTATAGACCGATAACATGTCTCTCCACAACGTATAAGTTGATCACGTCTGTACTGACGAACCGTACTTATTCCTTTTTCGAAACAAACAGCATTCTCCCGCTGGAACAGAAGGGATGCAGAAGAGGTTCATATGGCTGCAAGGATCAACTTCTGATAAATAAAATGATCCTGGAAAATTGCAGGAGACGACGTAGAAATCTTAGCACAGCGTGGATTGATTATCGTAAAGCCTTTGATAGGGTTCCACATTCTTGGATCCTTAAGACTTTGGAAATGTACAAAGTCTCCCCTGTGGTATTAAATTTCCTTAAGCACAGCATGGGAATGCGGAACACCAAACTATACCTTAGTCACACCGGGGGCACTGCCATATCCAACTGTCTGAATATCCGACATGGAATCTTTCAAGGGGACTCTCTGTCACCCCTTCTGTTTTGTTTATCCTTAATCCCTCTTACACATGAACTGAACAACAGTAACTATGGTTACCAAATAAATAAGAAAATATTCAATCACCTACTCTACATGAATGATCTCAAACTCTTTGCCAAAGACGACAATGAGTTGAAAGGCCTCCTCAATATTGTAAAATACTTCAGTGACGACATAGGTATGAACTTCGGATTAGATAAATGTGCAAAAGTAACTTTCAAGAAAGGTAGAATTACAGAAACACCCTTAATAGATTTAGATTTTGTCACAAAGATTAGGGAACTGGAGCATGATGAAACTTATAAGTACCTAGGAATTAGCGAAGGAGATGGCATACAACACCCCCAAATGAAGGAAATAATAAGAAAAGAGTACTACAGGCGTGTACGTCTGGTACTAAATACCGAGCTAAACTAAAAAAACAGAATATCAGCCATAAACACATTGGCTGTCCCTGTGGTGCAATACAGCTTTAATGTCCTTAACTGGACCATAGTTGAAATTAAGCAAATGGACGACAAAACGAGAAAGCTTCTCACTTGCTACCGCATGCATCATCCCAAAGCTGATGTTGATCGTCTGTATGTGCCCAGATCCGAAGGAGGCAGAGGGTTATTTCAACTAGAACTGTCCGACAAAACTACAACAATTGGCCTCCAAAGATACTTGGAAACTACAGAAGACTGGATGATGGTATACGTCAAGGAACATGAAAGTAGTAAGCGTCTTTACTCCGTAATAAAAGAAGCCAACAAATTCAAAATGGAGTTTCAAATGGGCGTAGAGATGCAACTACAGCACAATACACCGGCTGAAACTGCAAAATACTTAAAAAGACAGCAAAGACGAATGCAACCGACCAGATACAGAAGCGATGGCAAGATAAACCGCTTCATGGCCAATACTCTGCCCGTACCAAACAAGCTGACGTAGACAAAACCCGTACCCATCAGTGGCTACGTAGTGCAGGGTTGAAAGCTGAAACTGAAGGTTTTATCCTTGCTGCACGGGACCAATGCTTGCTAACTAGGAATTATCAAGCACATATACTAAAATATTGTGTCAGCCCAAAATGCAGATTCTGTGATAAATATCCAGAAACAATTGATCATCTTGTATCAGGTTGCACGATGTTGGCCCCCACTGAATATAAAACCCGGCACGACAGAGTGGGCCAATATCTGCACTGGAAAATCTGCAAATTCTACGGGAAGGAAACTGAAAGAAAATGGTATGAACACCACCCAGACCCGGTTACGGAGATAGGACCTGTTACAATTCTATGGGACTACACAATACACACTGACAGAACAATCAAAGCCAACCGCCCAGATATTGTTATTAAAGACCACAAACAAAAAAAGTGCCTTCTCATTGATATGGCAGTCCCTGCTGACTGCAATGTATCTTTGAAGATATTCAAAAAGTTGTCAAAATATAATGACTTTGAAATAGAAATCTCGAAAATATGGCATATGAGAACTTCAACAATCCCTGTTGTAGTTGGAGACCTAGGCCTGGTTGAAAAAGATTCCAGTAGACTAATTGAAAGGATTCCTGAAAGTCCATGCCTCAAAAGAGATAGAAAAAATTGTTCTGACAAGTACAGCCCACACTTTACGAAGGGCTTTATCTATGTAATTTTTTTTTGTCAGTGGAAAGTGTCATTATGCCATTTCTAACCTTAGGTTCCTGGGCGGGACCCGGAAAGAAATATGTAAACGCCAGAAATCAAAGAAAATAATAATAATAAATCCAACATAAATAAAATAAAATAAAGTAAAATAAAGAGACGTTTTAATAAAAAAATAATCGGTAAAATATAATCAAATCAGTAAATCAATATATAGATAATATAGAGAACAAATTTAGCATATAAACCTAGGATTAACATAACAAAGATACACCTATTAATAATAATACTAACATTATTAATTTAAGATTATAGATGTATACACCAGTAAGACAATCATACATATAAAAAACACATATGCTATTACTCATTTATATGAATCAACACTTTAAGTGTATATCCCCCAAGTCAAAGATTTTAGAGCATTTCAAACTTGTTCTTCTCTTGTATGTACTGACTGTTTCTGTCCTGGAGGTTTTTGCGAGTTTGAAACCGACAGATGATGTCCCATTTAATTTGTGGGGTGAAGCCTCTATCTTTAATCCTCCAATAATGCTTGGATAAAAAGAAGTATTGGAAAAGGAATGCTGGTGATTGTAGAGTCTCTGTTTCCAATTTCCAGCAGAAATCAATATGTATATAGAATGAAGTATCTAGGTATTAAAAAGAACCCCCCTCCTTCGAACCTAGTAAATGGCACTACAGAATCACACACAAAGAACAGTACCAAATAATAGCGACCACATCACCTGAGGACTTTCAACAGGATCAACAGCTAAAATGGATATCACATATAACTTGTAGAGAAAATAATGACATAATGGAGATGTTGACATTCCGCACTACTTCAAACAAAAGGTTAGAAAAGAAACTCCATCAATACTGGAATGATCAATAACAGCTACTGGATTTGAAAAACCTGTTTCCAAGAGAAAGATTTTATAGATTTCAATCAACAAATAGTACTGGCTGCTCGGTCAATGAATGCCAAATATTTCCTTATAAGGAAACGGTTAATATTACCAGTTTTAGCGCAGTTTGGCACAAGGTCAAAAGCGGTAAGTGATGATCAAAGTTGCATATATTGGTAGATTTTCACAAAATAAATATAACGAACCCAACCAGAATTCGAACTCGGATCTCCAATTTTTGCTTTCGAACGTTTCTCCATTACATATGCCTCACATCTCAGCTTACAGAAAACAAATAACACATCTTTTCTTTTGCATTTTCTAGAATAATAGCAGAATAAGCAATGTTGAGTCTGATCAGTAAGTAGATGGGTTGCCGTTTGGGAATACCAGGTGCTGTAAGCTGAGATATGAGGGTGGTGAAATGGATAATCTTTTCGGAACCAGAAATCTGAGATCTGTGTTCGAATTCTAGTCGAGTTTGTTATATTTACTTACGCGGGAAGTACATACATACATGGGAATGATATGAATGCACCCCTAATTAAAGGCATGACTCCACCCCTAAATAAAGACATGTATTCACCCCTAAATAAAGGTATAAATCCAGCCCTAAATAAAGATATGAATCCAGCCCTAAATAAAGACCTGTATTCACCCTTAAATAAAGGTATAAATCCAGCCCTAAATAAAGGCGTGTATCCACCCCTAAATAAAGGTATGAATCCACCCCTAAGTAAAGACATGTATTCACCCCGACATAAAGGTATAAATTCAACCCTAAATAAAGGCATGAATCCACTCCTAAATAATGGTATGAATCCACCCCTAAATAAAGGCATGAATCCACACTAAAGAAAGGCATAAATCCACCCCTAAATAAAGGTATAGATCCAACCCTAAATAAAGGCATGAATCCACCCCTAAATAAAGACATGTATTCACCTCTAAATAAAGGTATAAATCCAGCCCAAAATAAAGGCGTGTATCCACCTCTAAATAAAGGCATGAATGCACTCCTAAATAAAGGCATGAATCACCCCTAAATAAAGGCATGAATCCACCCCTAACTCCTACTTACTTGGAAAATTTAAATTCAAAATTCTCGTTTTAAAACGATCTCGAAAATTGACTTTGAAAATTAACAATTATTTCTTGTATTTTCTTATTCAGTTTTTACTTGGTGCTCCACAATTATAGCCTTGTGCCAGGCTAAGCTTGGGTAAATGTCTACCGTTGCATAGGATGTTGGGCGTTATAATGGATATCATCGCAGTGAAATCGGCGAGTTGGGTTCAGATTTTAGCCTTGCCTCCATCGTTTACTTTTGTACAAATTCCCTTGGGACATACATGAATCCATATTTACTTCCCCCAAGATATGGGTTAAATATCAAGCTAGACAGCATTCCCTAGATTTGGGGAGCAGTTTAGCCTAAGAGAAGGAAAACTTGAAATTTCAAACCGTGGAGAATGCAATGGGCAACTACTCTCCTCTCTTTCCCGGGGTATGTATCATGATTCGACAGGACATAGAATTTAAAAAACCGTGGTGTACCAAATCATCAGCGTAGTGAGGTCGATCCTCACTAGTGCTCACCTACTTTGACCTTGTTTCAGACAAATCTTAGTATCTATTCCAGTTATTTATTATTTTCATTAGTTAGCATATGATAAAAAAGAAATTAACCACAACGAGAAACAAATATGGCTTGATGAGGGGAGGGTCGATATGTGTGAGGAATGTGGTCATAGAATTAAAGGCGGTCCTTTCGTTTCAACTGTTTCATTCTTCCTCCCCAACACACAGTAATAACTAGGTTTGTATGAATTCCAATCTGGGTGAGTTTACAAGCCATGATTCCGGTTTTAAAGACGAAAGATTCCTATTATTCAGGCTTAATTGCTTTTAAAAGACTGCGAAAATATTTCACCGAGTCGATTTCTGTCTTATTCCTGTGACCAAGAATTAGGCTACACTCACCCACACCTGTAGAAATGGACCCATCCTAGGTAACAAATGCGTGATGTAATAGGTAAAGAAGTAGTGTAGCTGTGGCATTGTAGTTGTTGTTGCTAGTAGACACGGATTGAATTTAACACGTGCTGGAAAGATAGCAGGTTCATTCTATTGCTCCAGTAAGTACCTGGTTCCTTCTGACACGCTTTGTCTTTACTAGAGACAGTTTAAAGAATAAATATCCTGGCCAACATTATTCCGAGGTCTGTTGGGAGTGCGATAGTTTAAGAAATCGACAAATTTGGAGAAACATACCCGCAATAAGACGTAGTGTCAAAAGGACTGTTTTTCCCATGACACCGCTATTATTTTAACTACCTTCAATCCTCGGCAACGTTTATTGTTTAAAAAGCGATAACTACAATTATGATGCAAGTGAATTTATACATTTTCTTTGTTCTTGAGAACTGACAACAAAAAATAACAAACTATGTATTTATTAAATTATTTATTACACTATTTATTATTTATTGGAATGGTTGGTAAAACATCGGCTAATTACGAATTGATTCAAACTTTATAAAATGGTAAATAATAAGGATTCCTTTATAGTTCGTGGACATATTTTAATCATTAAATTTATGAATAAAAATTGTTTTCCTTATAAATGATAAATATTGCATTGCATTAGTTTTAATTGTCATAATATTTAGGATATTGTAAATATAAAATTATTCTTGTAAATAAACATAGTGTTTAATATTTTTGTTGCAAATTCTCAAGAACCAAAAAAAAAAACAAAAAAAAAATATAAATTTATTTTCATCATTTATTTAGGTTTTATTCCAATTCTAATCATCGTTTTTTAAAACAATAAACATTGTCGAGGAGCGAAGGTAGTTAAAAACGATATCCTGCCATATATCCTGCCGATATCTTTCATTTATATCACGCACCTCAATAATCATAAACATTTTAACAGTAATCACTTAACATTACAGACTCAATCGTTATCTATCCTCCTTATAATAATATTCACTTTCTACCACCTCCTCTTTCATTTTGATCGTACCCCTCTACATTGAGTGGCTCACATATTCGTATTGCGTGTACTTTAGTCTATAAAAAATAATTTTCTATTAAATTCGAATTGGCCTTCATAGAAATTTAAAATATTTTTGCAAAATTTTCCCGCGTTTTTCATTACAATAAGGAAGATGTAGAGGGGCCGTGGCGGTTACCACTTGTTGAGGGTTCATGGCGTGGCTGTTATGTTGTTGATAGAAGTCAGACGTAAAAGAAACGCAAGTAAGGTTCAGATACTCCTGCCCGCCGGGCAGGAGTATCTGAACATAAAAAGGTTGGACTTTGATTACGTCCAAAGAAGAAGGCAAAGAAAGCAAACAAAACACAAGACCGATAATATATGTATATATAAATATATATTAATAACAAGTTACAATACATGGAAACAGTACAAAGGACGAAGTGTGTGTGAATATTCTGTATGTGCGTGCGTGCGTGTGTGAATATTCTGTATGTGCGTGCGTGTGTGAATATTCTGTATGTGCGTGCGTGTGTGAATATTGTGCTTAGCGTGTTTCCACGCTATCCCTTGTTAGCGCCTACATTTCGAGGTTGATAGCTGAAATCCTGAAGGAAAAAGAGATAGATGTGAAGGCTCAGCGGCTATTTATAGCCAGGGAAGAGAGACCCCTGGTGAAAGGGTTAACGGACTGAAGGAGGAGTTAACTCCGACAAAGATAAAAAGCTATTATATCTTACTCTCACTTTCCAGAAAATCTGCTACGAATCGTAAAACTAAGACATCATTTAATTAGATAAGATTTAATTGCTAATAATATATATTAAGGACATTATAGGCTGAAAAGTTTTCGATGAATAATGAATTTTTGCAAGAATTGTTTTCATTTTTTTTTATTATAATAATTTATGAAGTTTCAA